CGAGAGGTCGCACGGGAAAATCCCGACTCCACGAGTGATTCAATGGCCGAAATTCGATGACGGAAACGTCAAAAACGAAAGTAAAGATGAAGAAAATGAAGAAAATGAATGAATTGTATATATCTTATTCATTTGATACTTAATTTTAAGGTTAAACCCAAGATTTTCAATGTGATTCTCGTAGGGGTGATGGCTTTTGCTTTGGAAACGATGTTATTCATCGAAAATTTCATTTATTCACTGAATTACTGTAGAAAAATTGCAATTTTAAGTTGCTTTAGCAATTTTTCGTCATTTTTTTTACCATTTTGATCACAAAAGATTTAGATTCATTCAAGTTTTGCTGTTTTTATTGTTTTTACTGTTTTGATTGTTTTTTTCTCACGCTTCTACGGAAAAAATGAATTTATCAGTGCTCAACTTATTCTAAAACGTAAAATTTTACAGAGTAACTTGCAGAGAAACTTGCAAAAATTGACCAAAATTTTTAAACAATTAAAAAGCGAGAAAATTTGTAATGAAAATTTAACCGGAAGCTAATCTTTTTTTGATCTTTTTCATGGTTTATCGTATTTTCTAATAGACGTGCACCGAGCCGGGTTGATGCCTATTTTACGGTTTCCTATTCTTCCCAGAAGCTCAACACTCAAATCCCCCACTAGATCTCATCGTCAGCTACATTTTCCGACCCCACATCGATAGGTTCTGATAAGCGGTTCTCGAGATTTCGAGTAGCTTAGACGACGACGACCACACCGATTATGAATTTCAGTCGATTATGACTGAAGTGGGTCTAGGGGCGTCCAACCATCAAGTATTTCGTATCATTCAACGCAGAATCATTGATAATTATGTTAAATTTTTCAAATTAGCAAGATTTGATGAAAAGAAAAAAAATTAGAACAAAAAAACTGTTTCTCCGAGAGAAAACTTTGAAGCCCCGTATTTTTTTTTCTTTTTATCCAATCTTTCTAATTTAAAAAATTTAACATAGTTATCAATGATTCTGCATTGAATGATACCAAACACTTGATGGTTGGACGCCCCTAGACCCACTCATTCATAATCGGCTACGACTTATACCGTATTCTCTCTAATATCGTATTTATCGTATTTTCTAATAGACGTGCACCCGGCCGAGTTGGTGACTCTTTTACGGTTTCCTATTTTTCCCAGAAGCTCAACACTCTAATCCCCCACTAGATCTCATTGTCAGCTACATTTTCCGACCCCACATCGATAGGTTCTGATAAGCGGTTCTAGAGATTTCGAGTAGTTTAAACGATGCTCTGGGTGCACTTACAGAAAATACTTTGCAATCAACTTGTGCGGTGCGTGAGAGGGTACCGATGGGGCCATCATTATTTAGGTAAAGCTGTAAGCTTACTTTCCCGTCCCCCGGTAACTGAATGGTGTAGTGGCTAGTGTGCTTGGTCTCCGTGCCGCTGGGTCAAATCCATGGCCCTGGTTCAAGTCCCCTCTCTGTCAAAAACATTTTTGCAACTCTTTCTATACTAGTATAAGAATTTTCAACGATTTTATAGTATCTATAAACAGTAAAAAGCTAAAATAGAGTCCCTGGAAGTGGCTGAAAGCGGGAGGAAATGGCTGAAAGCTGAGGGAAATGGCTGCAACTTTTAGCGAACACAAAAGAATCTCAGCTTTCACAATCAAGCCCGATCTAACTTTCAGCCAGGAATCGATGGATAAAGTTCATCCAAACCGTGACCTACCTTTGAAGGTCAATGAAAAGTCAACCAAGTCAAGTCAAAATCTTTCAAACAAATGTTTATTTCACATAAAAAATCACTTGTTTTTTTTCCAATCATGGCCTCGGTTTGAAGAGAATCATCGCGCTTTCCTCTTGTGCTTTATTTGTGTCTTTGCTATCCGTCAACCAATCGTAGAAATTCTGAGCGCCGCCGTGATTCTTGTCGGGGATGATTGGGCCCTGGAATTGGAATTTAAAAAAAAAGCCAACTTTTTTGTAAACTTTAGAATCTGGTGCACTGATCTCATCGATGATCGATGAGATCAGTGTGCCAGAAACGAAAATTTACGCACAAAAGTCACCTGTGGTGGCGGGGTTTTCGGCTTTTCGGCGGGTGACTGGTTTTTCTTTTTCTCTAAAATTACAAAATTGAGACTAAAACTTTAGAAATCTATTCGATTTTATATAAATTTTTACTTTTTGGCTTTTCTGGTGGTGGTTGATCGGGATCTTGCGGGTCTGGTGGAAGTGGTTGAGAGTCGCTCTGAAAATCGGCACATCAAAAGTTTAGAAGGCTCTCAAAAGTTTTGGAAACAAGCTAGATTGATGTTGTGTATTCCAGATTGGTCAAAAATATAAGGAAAACCTTACAATATCATCGGAGGGAGTGGGCGAAGGCGGACGGATCTCTTCAGGGCATGGAGTGTAGAAGCCGAAGAATTTCGGGTGCCATTTTTTGGAGGTCTGAAAAGGAGATGTGATTGACAGAAAGGTTTTTACGACTCACATTCTCATGGCAATACGTATGAACGAAGAAGATCGCTGGTCCGTAGACGAATGTCATGAAGATTGCTAGGATGATCACCCAATAGAGTTGTTGATCAAGACCGAACATCAGAGTTGTGTAGATGCCGAAAAGAAGCCACGCGAATGGAGGAAGGGCACGGGCTGATCGACTACAAATAAAGGGGTGTTTGGGTGAGCACAAAGTACACAGAAAGTACACAGAAAGTACGCACAAAGTACGCGACAAGACCAGTTACAGCTATGGTAGGGACCAGATTTTAGTAGCTTAAATTCTCCTGTGACTTCCAGAATCATCAAAAATTGAGATAAGAAGGCAAATGGGTTAGTGTTACAGGGAGAATTATTTAAGGACACGAAAATCACTGTCACTCACTATGCCCAATAGATTTGATCCCGATCTACCGCTTTCAGATCGTACTTCTTGCATTGGAGGAAAGCAGTTTGGACCTAGAATTGCTTACGATTTGTCAGATTTCTTAAAGTAAACCTTAAAACAAGCGACAGTGATGAGAAGCCATGGGGGAATGATGAAAGCCCAAAGGGTGTTCCCGGTCGTTGGAGCGAAACAGCTGAAAATGAGATTGGAGCTGTTACGGACATCCAGTGAGTTCCAGCTTTGACCTTTAACTGAGTGAAAAAGATTCTGGCTGCATATTATGGCTTTTAGTGCTTGGTTCAATTACCCAGTTAGAAATGGGGTAAAACTTTTCAACAAAGAACACTTTCTAAATGCTTTTTTGGACGCACTGCAGTCCAGATGGAGTGTATTCGGTTTGCTTGAGAAGATATGGGATAAGCGCGGAGAGGAGAGCGATCACAATCGATCCGATGTAGTTGATGATGGCTGGGATGCTGCCATTCTTCTTTGACGCTGCGTTGATCATTCTGAAAGATAGGATGCGGTCCAGGGATTGATCATTTTATGATCGTAATTGAGTTTTTCACTTACGAATTCGCGAACCAGGCCTCGAACATGAACGCCGCACACACCCAAACCATAAAAAAGTCGACAAGGATTTTCACAATTTTACATGGGCTCTAAATTTTTGAAAATTCATAATACATAAATCTGGATGTCACACACGCTTTTCGTGTAGAGAAAGAATTGCAGAGCCATCATTGTCATGAAGAGGAAAATCATGCCGATCTCTTGGAAGAGGTGAATGTATCGGTGATGGCCTTTGTTTCTGGAAATACAGTTCTGTAGTTGGGGAAGTTGGCAAAGTCAAAGGAGAAGCTGGTAAAGTCGAAGGAGAAGCTGGTAAAGTCGAAGGAGAAGTTGGGAAAGTCAAAGGAGAAGTTGTCAAAGCCAAAGGAGAAGTTGGCAAAGTCAAAGGAGAAGTTGGCAAAGTCAAAGGAGAAGTTGGCAAAGTTTGTTTCTAGTTTCTAAGAGATGGAAAAAGCTATCGTAAACCGACTGGCTAGGCCAAAGTTTACAACAAACTTGTGCTTGCAGTTGATGATGATCGTCGCGATGACACAGATCAAAATATACATGAAACAGAGGCAGAAAAGAATTTTGAAGATATTGTACCACGTTTTGGAGAGCACACGGGAAGTGCATCGAAAAGTTGAGAGATTTGGCGGAACTTTGAGAATATTTACCTCATTTCAGCCACTTCCGCAGCCTCGTCTAGGTAGTCGCAGATACCGTTTGAATTCGCGTCTTCGCAGGCTGGAAATTGAAAGATAGATCTATACAGTAATCTAACTACAGTCACCCACCAGTTGTTGTGGCCACCGTGGTCGTCGTTGTCGTCGCATTGTCGTAGTTGTCCACGATTGCCACACAATATTGCACGAAAACCCCCGAGTCACACTGAAGGGCTACTGTAACTTGTTCTCTAAACAAGAACTCACTGATTGGAATAGCGGGTCGCCTTTGCCTGAGGGGCATTCGCAACCGGAAAGATTGTAATCGGTTTCGGGATCGGAACCGTAGAACTGAAAGTTGGTGGAATGAATACAGAAATTCAGTTTGACCGATTTTCTCGAAAACTATTCATCGAAAAAATCAAGTTTTGAAATATCCGGCCATTCTGGAGCGCACATCAGCGAATCGTTGTGAAAATTTTTTGCAAAGTGGAAAGTACAGAGTTGGAGAGTGAGACACGTGAGTCGTTTAGACCGGAAAGGCGCGGAATTTTTTGAGAACCGAAAATTCTCAGAAATTTTTTCGGAGTCCTGGAGCGCACATAGTTCATTGCAAGTTTTGGATTTTAGATTTATGCAAATTTTTTTATTGAGCGACGAGTCCGTGGTTCGACTCCGCTGAGTGACCAGAGCCTTTTTAAAAATCGTCTTTTCGACAATTTTTTTGAGCGTTTCAGGTAGTGTGCGCTCCAGATCGATAGAATAATCGAATAATTCACCCAATTCCAACTTGAAATTTTGCCTTCTGCTTTGTTTGTATTTTCGATCTGCCTTGTGCCAGACTATAGAAAGAAAAATCAGCCGATTTTACTGTCCACGCACTCTATATAGCTTACAGCTACCTTACCAATAGTAGGCTTTAGAAATTTCAGCTTAAAGCTTACGCTGATCAAACAAGTTTGCCCAGCAACCGCCGTCGCCGAGCTGTCACAAATGCAAATGAACGTAGCAGTGGTGGTCGGGGTGGCTGTGGAGGTGGCTGAAACGAAAACTGATAACTGAAAACCGAAAACTGATAACATAACAAAATCCTAAACAATTTCCCAGTCTGACTTGTTGTCGTGGTTGTCGTGGTTGTCGTAGTCGTCGTCTGCGCGTCACTCAAAATCACGAAAGCGAATAAAATTAGAGAATTCAATCGAAAACCGAGTTTCATTTTGGGAATTTGTGAAATTTCAAAAATTTCGAAGAAAGCCAAACCTTTTGACGTTCTTCTTTTGAATTTTTCATTACAACTACGGTAACGGGTTGCCTAGTGCATTGGAAACAATGAATGACAGAAAAGAAGCGAGAAACTACGAAAACAGGCTTTTTTTTCTGAATTCTGGAGCACAAGGAGCAGTTTAAGATTCGGAAAAATACGAAGTTTCACGAAATGATCAAAAATTACATAAGAAAATGTTTCAAATGTGATTCAGAATTGCAAAAAAAGGTTAAAATTTGTCAATTTACAAATTTTTGAGGGATTTTAGGTACTTTCCGGTTAAACCTTCCAAAAATTTGCATTTTAAAAAATTCAAATATTAGGTTGGCGGGAAAATAATGCGAATTTTGATTTCAAAAAAACAATAAATAAAGAGGATTCATTTAAAAGGTATTCTCCATTATTATTTAGGAAATCATGCCATCTTTTACTCAATTTAATAATTCCATTTTCACAAAACTGGGGAATTTTTGACGAAAAATAGTTGATGACCGCATTTTTGACTTCCTGGGAATCTCTTTTGACTTCCTGGGAACAGCTGATCGGAGATGAACTACTTTAGAGACCTGAATAAGTGGTAGTCTGGCCAAGTCAGCGGGCCAAGTCAGCGGCCACGTCAGCGGCCAAGTCAGCGGCCAAGTCAGCGGGCCAAGTCAGCGGCCAAGTCAGCGGCCAAGTCAGCGGCCAAGTCAGCGGGCCAAGTCAGCGGCCACGTCAGCGGCCAAGTCAGCGGGCCAAGTCAGCGGCCAAGTCAGCGGGCCAAGTCAGCGGCCAAGTCAGCGGCCAAGTCAGCGGGCCAAGTCAGCGGCCAAGTCAGCCAAGGGGCCAAGCGCTGTATGGAACGTGTGGTAGAAGTTCTCCGTCCATCTCTTCGATTTCCAGCCCATCTTTCCATTATTATGCAACAACCGAATTTTTGAAGTGTCTTGTCGAGATTTCGATAAAGCTTGATCTACCTGCTCACTGTAAAGCTCAGCTGTGACAGTTTTACCCGATTTGAGCAGCTCAAAATTAAACAATCCACGATAGTTCCACCATGCGCACAACATCAACTTCTTTCCATACAGGTTTTGACGTGACAACCGGGTGATAGCCATTGATGCTTGCGCCTAATGTTAACATATAATATCCACGTTTCATCAGAAGCAACAAGTGATTTCCAAGAATCATGCGCTTTTGATTTTTGAATCAAAATTGAACAAGTGTTCATACGGGCAATTTTGTGATTGAGGGTGGGACCCATTTTTCGCATCTGTTTCGCTTTCCAATCAAATGTAAATGCTTTTCAATGGTGCTATGATGAACATTGAACATTTCCGACAACTCCCGAGTGGTGCAAGTGGGATCTTCTTCGATAATTTGCAAAAGTTGAGACTCATCCAGCTTTCGAGGATGTCCTTCGTGATGCTCACCTTCTAGGCTCTCGCCCCCCATTTCAAAGTCGCTCAAACCATCGATAACATTGTCGTTGTAATATCCCTGTTCATGTAAATTACATGTAAGTATGTAAATTTTTGAGTATTTAAATTTTGAAGAGCTATACCGGATTACCGGATTTTATTTCAGTGAACAGAAATTTTTCATTCCCAATTTTAAAACTCAACAAAATCTCTGCATAGAAACTATAATGAAAAAGAAAAAAACAGGTGCTTTCAATCAAATTGTTTTTGTTTCAAAGAGAAAAGGAATGTAAATTGTCTTATTTTCCCAAAGAATTCAACAAGTTCATGGCTGGTTGTGATCAAATTTTTTTCGCAAACCAAATTATCTTTCTCTTTTAGCTTTTTGCCTTTAAAACTTTGATTTTTCTTCATTCTGGATAGCAATTTAGAGATTTAACTTAAAATTTTTGTTTCTCGGCCATTTCCTCCCTTTCAAGTGTGAAACTCGAGTAGCTGTTCCTCTTCCGAATTTCCCCAGGTGAACTTGTGTCCAAATATTTGCCAATCACGTTTTTGGAGGGCACTTGGGGAAATTATTTGCAATTTTGATGAATTCAATGTGAATTTTGGAAATCAGAGATACTGTTGGCTGGTTTTCATTGTTGATTTCTCGGTAGTGGCTAATAGGCCCTATTCCAAAGGATACTGTAATTCTAAAACACTCTAATCACAATTTGATGCTCACTCGAGATTACCCATCCTCAATTCGGGTACTTTTTGCCAAAAATCCGCCAGATGCTTTTGATAATTGTGGTCATTTTCCGACTCTTCAACCAACAGTCGATTGTCCGTTTCCCGGATGGTCGGTTGAAGTGGGTCTAGTCTTGTTTAATCAAAGAAATCAAAGAAAAACCCTTCCAGATCTTTAGCAGTTTGATGCAAGCTTTGCAAATCAAAATTGAGCCACTTGTATTCGAGAATTCACCAGGGAATGTCGATTGGGGATCTTTACAGGCAAGGATTTTAACTAGAACTGTTTCTAGAACCGTTTCTAGAATCGATTTTACAACCAAGCCAAGCCAGGCCATTAAAGCCAAACCAGTCCAGTAATGCCAAGCCAGACCAGTAAAGCCAAGCCAGGCCATTAAAGCCAAGCCAGGCCAGTAAAGCCAAGCCAGGCCATTAAAGCCAAGCCAGGCTAGTAAAGCCAAGCCAGGCCAGTAAAGCCAAGCCAGGCCAGTAAAGCCAAGCCAGGCCATTAAAGCCAAGCCAGGCTAGTAAAGCCAAGCCAGGCCAGTAAAGCCAAGCCAGGCCAGTAAAGCCAAACCAGTCCAGTAATGCCAAGCCAGACCAGTAATGCCAAGCAAGGCCAGTCAAGCCAAGCCAGGCCAGTAACGCCAAGCCAAGCTATTTCTTTTGCTCAAATTCCAAGCCAAACCCTGAACATAATCAAGGTTTTAGGCCAAATTAGCTAAATTCAACAGTGATAAAGTAAAGAAATGAATGGTAAAGATGGCACGATATTCTGCTTACCGGGCAAATGCTCTACCACTGAGCTATTTGCGCCTTCTTTGCCCATGAAATAGGAAAGACAAGGAAGAAGAAAGGAAAGGAGAAAGAAAGAAAGAAAGAAGGGAGAAAGAAAGAAAGAAGAAAAGAAAGAAAGAAAGAAAGAAAGAAAGAAAGAAAGAGAAGGTTAAAATTCCATAAAATGATGAGTCTAGCTTTGAAATGAAACAAAATCTCTTCAGCCAAACAATTCCTGGTCTGGAGCTCTTGGTTTCCTGCAAAATGGGACTGTTGATGCGATTTGTCTTCAATTTCAACGAACCACGAATCGAGAGCGGGATTTCGATTTCACCTATCCAATCACTTTTGTGAGTTGCTTTTCCCAGTCGTAATCCTTACCAAATCTCAGATCCAAGCCGAGATTATTGTGCCAGAAGTTGATGGCAGTTATACCCTCAGTTTGCTTGATGTTTTCAAACCGTAAGTACTTTTGAGCTTTGATCTGGATGTCAGGGAAGCCAAGCAAGAGGCTATTTACTGAAAAATTGACTTTTATTTAATTATATTATTTTTATAAAACTTTGAAAGCTGACTATGACTCAAGCTTTTGATTAACGCTGATTCTTTTCAGTTTCACTGGAGAAGCCTGGCTTTTCTTTGGGATCTCTCTAATCGTTTGCTTGTTAATTTTCATCTTTGTGAGTCATGTGGAGAGGTTGATCGCTGACGGGAAAAAGAAGGATTTAGACTTGTGGGAGGTTGGGAAGCCATTTATGAGAGTATTTACTGAAAAACTGACTTTGAAACTGAGAATTTTGAGCGATCTGGAACGCACTACAGTTATTGGAAATAAAAATAAAGCTTTTAGACAACTTGGGGCATTTTGGCTTTTCAAATGTACCAGCCGAGTCCATCGTTTCAATTGGTCAGCGATGGGGGTAAGTGGGAGATTGGATTTCGATTTGAAATCTGGAACTCACGAAGCCTTTTAGCTTTGCCAATTTTCAGGGAAAATCCTCTACACAATTTTTGGGGTCGTTCACATTTTGTTGTTGATGGGTTTGTATCAGAGTTATTTGATCACGGCACTTTTACAGCCTGGGGATCCGTATCCGTTTCGGGTAAGCGAAAATGCAACAAGAGGCTATAGTAGACCAAAAGCTACAGTACACCGCAAGACAACTAGACAATGCAAGACAACTAGACAACACAAGGCAACTAGACAACGCAAGACAACTAGACAACACAAGGCAACTATACAACGCAAGACAACTAGACAACGCAAGGCAACTAGACAACGCAAGACAACTAGGCAAGGCAAGGCAGTTAGACAACGCAAGGCAACTAGACAATGCAAGACAACTAGACAATGCAAGACAACTAGACAACGCAAGACAACTAGGCAAGGCAAGGCAGCTAGACAACGCAAGACAACTAGACAACACAAGGCAACTATACAACGCAAGACAACTAGACAACGCAAGACAACTAGGCAAGGCAAGGCAGCTAGACAACGCAAGGCAACTAGACAATGCAAGACAACTAGACAATGCAAGACAACTCAAGCTACAGTAATCCGGCTACAATATCCTATTCCATTCCAGAACCTCGAGCAAATGAGTGCCATGATCAAGTCAAAAGAGTATCAACTACTCGAGAGTGATGGCGGGAATTGGTAATTTATTGTAGCCTTGATCCTTAAATAGAAGGTAATCAAGGCTGATTCCAAGTTGTTCAAGGTGATTAATTTCTTGCTATATTCGGCAAACAAACTTTTGTTGATGGTTTAAACGTGTCAACGTGAAAGTGGCAAGCCACTCTCCTCGCAAAAAATTAAAATCATTTCTTTTTTGGACTTTTCATTCGAGATGAGTTCGAGTGATGAGAAAGTTATTGAAGATGATAAATCGACGTACGTGATAAACCTACGTACGTGAGAAACCGACGTACGTGATAAACCGTACGATTATAAACGATGATGATAACGTACGACGATAAATAAAGGTGATAAACCGACGTACGTGATTTTTGAGTTATCACAACTTTTGCTGCAACATTGCTATATTTGCGGGAGAATTCCAGGCGATTGAAGGAAAGAAAAGTGAAGAATCAATTGGGCAAGAAATGGAAATTGCCAAAAATTGTAGAAACAAATCGGCTGATTAATTTCCTGGCATATTTACTGATTTCCACAGATGTCCGATCCACTATCTTGCAGGAAAAGGCGTAAGACGAACCGCTAAAATCAAACTAGATAAAACAATAACCAAAAAGCCAATGAAGCCAAACAAATAATCTCAAATAACTCTAATCTACTATATATGTCGTAACCGTTTACGAAATTACCGCTTACGAAATTCAGCCGCTAACGAATCATTCGTTAACGGTTGAATTTCGTAAACGGTTACGACATGTATAAAGGAGACGTCTGTCCGTCTGTCTGTACCTAGCCATTGGCAAAAAGGGGCGGGGCTTAGATTGTGATTGAATAGATTGAAAAAGATGGACCTCCACAGTGGAAAGCACGAAAGTTAGTGAGCGTTTTCCGCTGGTTTCAAATAATCTCAAAATAAAATCGTTATATCAAAGCAAAATAATGACATGAGCATCGATGGCTGTGTGACATGGGCATCGATGGCATCATCGACGGTTATGAGGCAAATTCGATTTCTTGATTCTTCACTTTTCTTCACTTCAGCCGCCTGGAATTCTCTCGCAAGTTGCAGCGTTGGCAATGTTGCAGCAAGAGTTGTGATAACTCAACAATGAAGTACCTTAGTTTATCATTTTCAATGACTTTATCATCACTCGAACTCATCTCAATGAAAAGCCCAAAAAAAAGAAATGAGAATTTTCTGCGAAGTGAAGCGGCTTGACACTTTCGTTTAAACCGTTTAAACCTGTTTAAACCTGTCTACAGCAACAGGAGATGCTCATAAACAAAAGAGTGGCTTGCCACTTCCACGTTAACACGTTTAAACCTGTCTACAGCGGCAGGAGATGCTCATAAATAAAAGTTTGACGAATATCGAAGGAAATTAATCGATTTATTTCTGGCATTTGATATACAAAGCATTAGATAAAAACAAAATGATCGTTATGGGAAAGAAAATTTTTTCACTTTGAATCAGCCTTGATTTCCCCGTTATTTAAAGATCAATTCCAGGGTCTACGACGAGATAAGAACCTCTCCAATCTTTTCATCTCTCCGACAAGCCTTGGAGAAAAACCCGGCAGTGATGTTGACGAGCGACGGCGAACTGGTGCCCACCGCGCAAAAGGGTACGGTAATTGGGGGAAATCTTTAAGGAATTGATATTATCAATATTCTAGAGTACACAAATGTTCTGTGTGCTCCAGCTTGCTGTTTAACTTTCGAATTTCAGGCAAGTACGTGTTCTTCTCGCAAATCGATGCCTGTACTTCGTATCAATTGCAGGATTACTGTGGCTTTTTGACCGTTATGGAGGGTAAACTTTAATTTTAGAGAAAAATGTGGAAATTTTAGATTTACCACAAGTGACCTCACATTTTCTCTTCCAGAAGAACTCATCTTTCGTTGAAGCAGTGAATCAGTACGGTAATTTAGCTGTGAAATAGAATTGCCAGTACAGTACAGGATGACCGCAACAACTTTTTGGAAATGTATCTGGGAAATGTCTAATTTATTTCAAAAGTGGCAAGGGTTATACAGAGAATTGTAGGCCTAATTCTCTGCAACATTTATCTACCAAAAACTGCCCGATTGGACTTATACAACTCATTTAACAAGCGCTTGAATGAGCGCTAGTCGACATCACTCCGGCGAATCTGTCATTTGGCCACTTTTCTTTTTTAAAATTGCTAAGTGGCCAAATGACAGATTCGCCGAAGTGATGTCGACTAGCGCTCATTCAAGCGCTTGTTAAATGAGTTGTATAAGTCCAATCGGGCAGTTTTTGGTAGATAAATGTTGCCGAGAATTAGGCCTACAATTCTCTATATAACACTTGCCACTTTTGAAATAAATTAGACATTTCCCAGATACTTTTCCAAAAAGTTGTTGCGGTAATTCTTGGTCACCCTGTAAAGCCACTTTCTAGAATCTATCGTATTCCCATGAATTTTATCTTATTTTAACGTGTGACACCCAAATCTTCAGACAAATCATTCTACAACAATCGTTCATCATGAGAACGTACACGAAATACTTTGATTCCGGTTTCAACACCGGCACCAAGCATATTATTTGCCCAGCTTCGACGATTGATGATATTACGCCATTGGGTAACGTCTGGAAACAGCTTTGATTTGATTTTTGGAACATTTCAGCTCTTCGCAACTGTGCTGGCATTTTCTGGCTTCTCTTCATCGGTTTGGGTCTCTCATTGTTTGCCCTATCAATCGAGATCCTCGTTTTTCGACTAGTACAACGATTCTATTGGAAAAAGAAAGCTTTCTCGAAATAAAATTTGAGTGGAACGGTTTTACAGAGACAATTTTCACTGTGAAGTTAGGTGTTCTTTGTGGTCTGAATCGTGAATCGCGCGATCTGGCGATCTGGCCATCTGACGCGATCTGGCGCGATCTGGCGCGATCTGGCGCGATCTGGCAATCTGGCGAGCTGGCGCGGTAGATAGGGAATGACCGGATCAACGGAGGTTGATTCCCAACGGCAGCGCCGGACAAGCCCACCGCACTAAAGCAGGCAACCCCCATCTCCGGGATGGTGTGGCACAATTGTTGGAAGTCCTTCTCGGAGGACAAAAGGCAGTCCGGTCCACATAAAGGTATTCCATAAGGACAGAATTGGATCTCTCTCATTACTGACCCTACACCTTTCTTATTTGAGTTTAAATACTTAAATAAGCATAACTTAACTTGGCTTCAATATATGTGTCGCAGCCGATTGTGCTTTTCAGCCAAAAGTCTTTCGGCTTGCCGATTGCGCTTGGGGATTTATTTTTTTTTGTAAACTCAGAACATTTATTAATTTTATTAATCGAGTGTCTATTACTTGTTGTTTTGTTAAAATTTATTGTACAACAACAAATAATTATCAGTAAACCCAAGCCATTAAGCTACAATATCCGGGAGTTCATATTTTTATATAAAATAGTGCCTCCAGCGAGCCCATTTGCTAGCCGCCTTCTTAGGTAATAACATATATTTAGGCTTAGGCTTAAACTCAAACCCAAGCCCAATCTCTTGCAACTGCCTCGCCTTTGTGATTATTGTAAGTTTACAAAAAGAATCTCAAGCACTCGGCTAGCTGAAAGACTTTCGGCTGAAAATCGGCTATGACATATTATTGTTCTACACTGGTAACTTACAAACACTGTTGTCACAGATGTATCCAGCTTATCTCACTATTGAATAAACAAATCCTAATGACAAAGAAGATCTAAGAAGAGCATATCTAGATCTATATATTTATAAAAATTCAGATAGATTTAAAATTAAATTGTACAAAAAAAAGATAATTATAACTTTGTTTTTAGAATGCCAAACTATGAAAGTTACCATATAGTATAAAAATACTGTGTGAAGGAAAAGTCGTACGTGTTAAAAGATGTTTTAGTAATATTGAGGATTTTAAACTATATAACAAGAACAAGAACAAGAACAAGAACAAGAACAAGAACAAGAACAAGAACAAGAACAAGAACAAGAACAAGAACAAGAACAAGAACAAGAACAAGAACAAGAACAAGAACAAGAACAAGAACAAGAACAACAAGAACTACAACAACAACAACAAGAACTACAAGAACAAGAACAACAACAACTACATAAATTATCCAAACTTTTAAAAACAAGTATAAATCAAACATTATCCAATCCCTTTTCGGAAAAGCTATCACTAAAAACCTTTTCATACCACAAAAATACAACTTGAAATAAGCTAATAAATCAGCTAATAATCAGCTAATTTACTTCAACTATAGATAATAAATAACTAACGAGTCACAGTGTCACATCCCGGTCTTGACTTGGGAACAAAACCGCTTTCTTTTATTTATAACCACACGCCTTTTGCCAGCTGGTAGAGTGACTTCGGTTATAAAACCTTGTGACAGTGCTCTGGTCTTCGGATCTTCACCTTTTGTGACACAAAGATCTTCGGATCTTCAAGTCTTTTGTGAAATGATGGTCTTATGATCTGATTGTCTTTCTTTATTTTGGAAGTCCTTCTCGGAGGACAAAAGGCAGTCCATTCAAAAAGGTACCCAGCCAGCGAAAATCTCAAAGCTGTCGTGAACAGCGAAGTAAAATTACTGTCCAAAATAAATTTCCCCGTTGCTTGTTTACCTATGTTTGACGGTCGACTAATTTCCTTTAAATTACTATATTTTTCGATCTATATATCGACAATGCATTGCGAATTTTAATTTGACATCTCGCCTACCATACTCTGTCGAGTGAAAAGAGTGCAGAAAGGAAAAGGTTTTCCGTCATTGAAGTAAGGGACGGAGAGAGTGCTGACGCGCCCTACACTGACCGAAATTGGTGACACAATCTCACTCAGAGAGATCATTTCATTTCTATTTTTTTCAGAAACTTTCATTTTATTCGTTTTATTCGTTTAAAATTCGAAGTTAACCCTTTTCCTTATCGAATAAAATGTTTAGGGGATTAGTTGAAAATCTTTATTTAACAACTTTATTTAACAACTTTAACATTTTTCAAAATTATATAACATCCATTTACCCGCGATTTTTTTTTCATTATTTTATTTTGTTGTTTTAACCCGTATTTCTTCTGTAAAACATGGGGGTGGGACAAATGGGACTTTTTTTTGCGCACCTGGACATTTGCGCACCTTTTTTTTGCTGGAAAAAGCCTTAGGCAAGGCCGTAGAGCTTCGAAAATATTTCCATATAAGGGAATCATATGCGTAGATTCCGAATTTCGACAAATCAGACCTCGCTGGCACGTCAAATTTGGGCTAAAAGGCAAAAACTGCGGAAAAGCGTTAAGTTGCGTAGTTTTTGCCTTTTAGCCCAAATTTGACGTGTCAGCGAGGTCTGATTTGTCGAAATTCGGAATCTACGCATACGATTCCCTTCTATGAAAACATTTTTGAAGCTCTACGACCTTTCCTAAGGCCTTTTCCAGCAAAAAAAAAGGTGCGCAAATGTCCAGGTGCGCAAAAAAAAGGTCGCATTTGTCTCACCCCCTAAAACATTCAAAATCTCAATAATTTTTGAATATTTTGGCAATTTCGCCAAAATTCATCAAGTTTAACACAGCTTTACGTAACTTTTTTGCTAAAACATTCAAAATTTATCCTTTTCATGCTATTCATTCAAAATTTCCGCTTGTTTTACTTTTTTTTTGCAAACCTTGCCTAATCTTTTCATTTTCAGATCCCTGTGGGTGCTACAACAAAGAGAGGGGCCAATTTCTGCAATCAATCAATCAATCAATCAATCGCCCATTTCTTCGCCCATTCGATGAGATGTTGCCACAATTGATCGGTTCATCGACTCTATATTTTTTGATTGCCTGCATCGCTGCCCATAAAGAAGAAGTTGAGAGACATCTCGAAAGGGGAAAGGAATTCCTAGCAAAGGTACCTTATTTTAGCAATTAGATACTTCTGTGTGGCTAAGCTGACTTAAAATTGTTGATTTGTTGACCAAACTTGGTTAAAATAGGCGTTACGAGATTCTCGATTAGCGCCGTTGTTGAAAAAACTTGATTTGCTGTCGAAACGTTAGTTAAAGCTTATTTACTGGATTAGTTAGCCTAAAATGAATGTGTTTTAAAGTGTTAGTTTGATTTGTTGCAGAAACTTGTTCAGTACAGCTTATGTAAGCATCTATAAATTTCAAGAACTTGTATAAGTAGTGGAAAATTTGTTTAGAACCCTATAACTTCATTGTGTAGCATAAGCCCTTTACTATTTTTTTGCTTTAGGCTCAATTCGCCGACGCTCTCAATAGCTACCATGCGGCGATCGAATTGGATCCAACAAACTACCAGACTTTCTACCGACGAGCCACTGTCTACTTGGCGATGGGAAAGAGTAAGGTGTGTATGATGGAATAAAGTGATTTTATGCTTTTAAGAACTGTTTTGACCACTTCAACTTGTTCTTTTAGTCAGCCCTTCCGGATTTGGACAAAGTCGTTCAATTGAAGCCAGACTTCACGGCGGCTCGGATCCAACGGGGGAATGTTCTGCTAAAACAGGGAGAACTTGATGCAGCGCAACAAGATTTTGATTCAGTGGTCAGTTTTAAGAACTTAACGTCTAGTTTTATTGTTATGTTTAGTTATCGGTCGAGCCGAACAACAACGAGGTGGCCGCTAAAGTCGAGCACATAAACGAGCTACGACAAATGGTTTCAAATGGCGAACATTTCTTGGAGAATGGCGAGTTTCAAGAAGCCGAGCATTATCTGTCAAAGGCCATTGAAACGATGATGTGGGATGGAAGGTGTGTAGCTGATAATTCTCTATGAAGGATTGACATATTGACCATTTAAGATTAGATTTGCCACAGTTTATTGAATATTCTAGATAAAATAAAATAATTTTGCTAATTTGCCCATTTTAGCCTCTACAAGATGCGTGGCGAATGCTATAAACACCTGGGTGAAACGCAGAAAGCGATTGCAGATCTTCGAAACGTTGCCAAGCTCTTCTCCGACTCGACTGATGTGTATCTGGATGTTTCAAAGTTGTACTACTCAATTGGCGATGTTGAGGAGAGTTTAAAGTGAGTGAAGCTATTGTAGTACTCTTGTAAAAGTTTAAATCAATGATTTTAGTCAAATCCGCGAGTGCCTGAAGTTGGACGCCGACCACAAGAAATGCAAGGACTTCTACAAGGGTGTGAAGAAACTGGCGAAAATGCGCGAGGACCTTAATAAACTGGTGTCAAAGCAGGTTGGATATTAGTTGAGTTTTGATCTAACTTTATTTAGGATTGGATGGGATGTCTGGAGAAAGGGCAAAGCATTTTGAAAGCTGAAACAAAAGTGCCGAGCATTCAATTCGATGTCTTTCGGCAAACGTGCAAGTGCAATCTGAATGTGAGTTTATTGGGAAGATGTATGCTGAACCACAAATTTAAGTCTTTCACAACAGATACAAATAAAATTAAAAATGTTAATCTAATAATTAATTTTATCTCTGAAATCTTCTAGGCTGGCCACGTGCGAGAGGCGATTCAGGAGTGCTCCGAAGTGCTGAAGAATCAAGATGAGAACGATGTGGAAGTGCTGTGTGATCGAGGAGAAGCTCACATCTTGAACGAGGATTGGGACGCAGGTAAGAAAGAAACAAGAAAAAGAGTAAGAAACTTCTAATTCTATTTTAGCAATCGCCGACTTCCAAAAAGCGTTGAAAGCCAATGAGGAGCACAAGAAAGCCCGCGAAGGATTGCAAAAAGCGGAACGATTGAAGAAACAAGCCGGAAAGAGGGATTACTACAAGATTCTTGGAGTCAGGAGAAATGCGAACAAAAGGTCAGTTTAGATGCCTAGTATTCAAATTTTGGTACTATCCTAGTTTGCGGGGGCCTTTTTTTCTTCAAAACCACTTTCTGGGGTAGTTTTATGCGTAGATTCCGAAAAACATAACGAGAGCTTGAGAAAAAGCGTTTTAAGCCAAGTTTCGGGGCTTCAAAGTGCGCGCTTTTGTAGTGGACTTCACTATATGCCCCAAACTATCGACTATTGAGGCACTCTTCAAGGTCAAAACTAGAGCCAAAACCATTTTTAAACACTAAATATTCATTTTCTAACTTAAATAGGGGCAAAAGAAATTGAAAAAATATTTTTTGAGATTTTGACTCATGTAGGGTCAAAATTTTGAAAATTTTTTTATTTTGCTCCAATTTGATCAGAAACGTAATCAATAAGTTAAATTATGCCAGAAGAAGTGTTTTTGGCTTCAAAAAATGTTTTGAGAGACCATTTTTAGACCTCTTCCCTATTTGTACCCCTCTCATCACGCTTTGAAGCCCCGAAACTCGGCTTAAAACGCTTTTTCCCAAGCTCTCGTTATGTTTTTCGGAATCTACGCATAAAACTACTCCAGAAAAAGTGGTTTTGAAGAAAAAAAGTGCCCCACCCCAACAAGGAAGGATAGTACCCAAAGTTTATTACTCAAACAGAAATATTATAAAACGCTCAAATTGCAATTTCTTCCAGAGAAATCATGAAGGCTTATCGAAAGTTGGCTCAACAATGGCATCCAGACAATTTCCAGGTGTGAATCAAATCTCCTGCTTTAAATACTTTTCTTTTAGGATGACGAAGAGAAGAAAAAGGCACAAGACAAGTTCATCAACATTGCTGCGGCGAAAGAGGTGCTAACGGATGAAGGTTGGTTTGAGAAGAATTAATATTATAATGATTTTATCGGAGTTAACTACTAGTTTAAAGTCGGTTGCTTCTAATGGATAAAAATGCTTTTGTTTTTATAAAGCTAAAGAGTAGGACGACTTGTTTAGAATTCGTAACTATTAGGTTAGGTCGTTTTATTCTAAATGCCCTTCTTTTTAGAAAAACGACGCCAATTCGATCAAGGAATCGATCCACTCGACCCTCAAGCTCAACAAGGTGGCGGTGGACATTGGGGACATCATCAGGGATTCCAGCATCAAGTAAGGATTAGGGTTTTAATGAAATTGTAGAACTTGTTATAGAGTTGTAGCTAGTTTAAGTTCATAATACCACTAATTTCTTCGATTTTAGGGTTTCCCACACGGTTTCAATCCATTCGGCGACGGTGGTGGCTCGTTCAAATTCCACTTCGGTTAATTATCCAAAGATGTACGCCAGAAGAAATCTCAGATGTGGACCCTGTTTATATTTGTCTAGGACTACCTCTCCCTATCTTCGTTCGCTTTATTCTCTCGTCATTTCTCGTCTCTCTTTTAATCCAATTGTGCCTTATCGTGGAAAAACTGGTCAATTTCAGCGGCAATCATCAATTTTATTGTAAAATTTCAGATTCAATCATTGTGATTTCTTGTGATCATTTTAGACTTTTTCCAGGCCGGCTGTAAATTATTGTGGCTAAAAATTGGGTTTTTGGTTTTATCGTGTACAATATGTAAACCGTTTTCTGTTGGACAAATCATTCTGTAATTGATTCTTTATTTATTTTGTTGTGTTCACGGGGTGATCAAATGATATGCGGGATTTCCTGAATTCTTTTTTTTCTTTCTTTTCTCCTTTTCTCCGATTTTTTCAAAACTCTCAGCGCCTTTCTTTTTCGTTTTTCCTTTATATACAATAGTTTTTATCGTTTTTTTGTGCATTTTTCTTTTTTTCTGTCTCTCTACTTGTGTGTTTCTAGGTAGTGCTAATAAATTTTTGTGTGAAATTCACAATAAATTTATTCTAAAATGATAAACACAACCCGTTTTTTTAAATCCGAATTTGACTGAGAATTTCAACAAAAAACACCATTAATGATGATCGGATTAGAGAAAATTTGTTTAAATACAAGAAATATTGCTTATCATTGTCAATCCAGTCGTTTCTCTTTCACGTATTTGCGCAACAATCGCAATGAGGGGAAACCGAGGATAAAAGTTTGAAGAAACCATTTGAAGCGGCAAGCGAAACTGAAATTTAGAAGCTGGTTGCGTTGAAATTTACCTTTTTGACGTTGTTTGAGCTGGATTAGTTTTTAAAATCAAAAACTTACGTGAAATGCATCCCCTCGCAAAGCAAAAGCGCGTAAATCCCCTCTCCAACATGAGCGATCAAAGCAAAAACATTTGTCGCTAGTAGAAGCGATGGATAAACCTGAAAATTGTTTTCACTTTAGAAATTGGCTCATTCATTTCACCTGTCCTAGATGACAGGCGAACGAGAGATAGGGGAGGTTGAGGACGAGTGGAGAGAAGAAGGCCAACTGAAAATTGAGGATTTGATAAAGAGGAAAGCTATGGAAATTTAAGAATTCGGCAATCTGGAACTCACGAAGTTGATCGTCAACGCTGACGGGATCAACAGCCACCAAAAGATCGACGGCGTCTCAAAGTGATCGGGCATTGGTTGCAGGATTCGACGGTGGCTCTAAATGAGTTGTGGGTTTCATTTAAAAGCACTAGAGATTTTGCAATCCTGGATGTCAGGAAGCAAATTGGCAAAAAGAAATTGTTGGAATTGTTGAAAATTTTAAAAATCAAAAATGTTGCACTTGAAAAATGAATGGAATTCTTTGATTTTTAGCTAAATCGTTTTTGTGCGTTCCAGATTATAAATTAAAAGACTGGGGAAAGCATTAAAGAATCTTTTTAGAGAATCTACCTTGTTTAGCGCGTTATCAGGCGACGGCTCGTATCGGCAATTGAGGTAGTCGCGGAGGGATCGATTCGACGAAATGCCGAAGAGTCTGTGAAAATTGAAAGGAATTATTTAAGTTAATCAATTTTAATCAAATCGGAGCTTGTTTGACCAAAAAAATTTGCAGGTGTGGACAAATTTCCTGCAGTAGTTTGTAGTTTGGTAAAAAAGTTAGGAAGTGGAGAAAATGACATAATGGAAAACTGTTGTGCGTTCCAGATTGACTAATGACTAATCCCCACTCACCTTAACACCAATGGAATGAGGTGGATGTAGTTGGGCATAAATGAGAGCACTTTCTCCTTGAGGATCGCGTCGATAATGCGCCGGGAGCACGACTCGACCGACATGAATGGGATCCAGCTGGAAAATTGAGCTTGGTAAAGAAAAAAAAAAAAAGAATCGATTGTGATAAGGAATCGGATCTACAATCCAGATCTGTAAATTGGAGCTAATGACAGGAATAATTATTAAAATTTTAAAGGTCCTTATTGACAGTTCAAAAGAATCGAGTGCATGCCATAACACAAGAATTCAGTCAAAATTTTGTTTTATTGTAGATCAGAGTCGAGTGGCACTGTCAAAATTGTGGCACGATGTTGTTCTCGAAAGTTAAACTTAGCGCTTATCAACAGTTCAAAAGAGTCGAGTGCATACCATAACTCGAGAATTCAGTCAAAATTTTATTTTTTTATAAACCAGAGCCAAGTAAAACCTTCAAAATTGTTGCACGATTCATGAGTCGTTCTCAAAAATGGAATTTAGAACTTTTTAATAGTTCAAAAGATTTGAGTGTATGCCATAACTCGAGAATTCAGTCGAAATTTTGTTTTATTGTAAACCAGAGTCGACTAAAACCTTCAAAATTGTGGCACGATTCATCAGTTGTTCTCAAAAATTAAACTTAGAGCTTATCAACAGTTCAAAAGGATCAAGTGCATAACCATAACTCGAGAATTCAGGCAAAATTTTATTCTATTGTAAACCAGAGTCGAGTGACACTGTCAAAATTGTTCTTAATGGTTCGATTCTCATCGGTGCCTGTTTTTTGCTAAATTGAAAAGGAGAGGAGTGGGGAAGGACAGAAGTCGAGTGGAGTTGGAGTACAGGAAGAGGAGGGAAAGGAAAGAGGAAGAAAGGGATCTCTCAATGCATACAATTTTGATTCGCAGCCACTCATTGCTTTTTGGGAAAGATAAATGTAGAAAATGGTGATAACTATTTTATACTCTAGCAATATTATTAGTTTTGATTATTTGATTTAAAACTCACGTCGAAGTGGGCCGCATTCCTTGCGAAAGAACCATCGGTGTTCGAGCAAAATAGGGACAAATCTAAAAATGGAAAATGTTAGACTGGACCGAGTGCTGCTAGTTTAAGAAGGCTGAGTACAGTGATTCTCTGGGCCAACTCTGGCCTCTTAAACCGACCGTCGTGCATTTGATTCCCTCTAATCCGCGATCCCGCAACTCCATCTGGAGACACTCCATCACGCCGCGGACTGCGAATTTTGTCGGACTGAAAAATTGATTGAATTGCATAGGATTTCAAAGTGTGACATCCAGTTTGACCAAATCACTCACCAATATGCCAATCCGTAAGTGTCACCGGACCATCCAGCAATCGACGAGATGCAAACGATTTGCCCGTAATTCTCACGCTCCATTCGACCGAGGAATGCGCGAATTGTCTAGAAATTGAAAAATTTGGTTAAAAAAATTGGTTCTTTTTTATTTACATTGACCGTTCCGACAATATTCACATCAATTGCTCGCTGAAGTTGCTCTTTTTTCAGCTCCATAAAGAACGAGAAGTAGAGAACGGCCGCGTTGCAGATGACGATGTCGATTCGGCCTGAAAATTGAGATTGAAGTTTTAGAGTTCCATTGGGAGTCGTAGATTTGGGAAATGATTCATATTTTAGCCAAAGTTTACGAATTTTAAGCTTAAACTGTTATCGTCAAGAAAAAGGGCACTAGGCGAAAGTTTTAAACAAAAATAACTTTAATACTGAAAACTATGGAGCTCACTACATGCAAAAACGATCCCCACTCACCCAAAAAGCCTCAATCCCTTTGCCGACCATGTTCATCTGTTCAGCATCCGAGATGTCCACTCTCCAGAATTTTGCTTTCCCGCCTTTGGCCTCGATTTTGGAGACTGTATCCAAACCGCCTTTCTGAAATGAATGAAATGACATTTAGAGTTTCTCATTGTCAGCAAATTACCTCATTTATATCCAAGACGGCGATTTTCGCTCCATATTCTGTTGCTAGGATCTCCGACATTTTTTGTCCCAGCCCGCTACCGCCACCGGTGATCACGATGGTTTGTCCTGGAAATAGTTTGGGTCTTTGGGAGGCACGAAAAATTATGAGAGCTTTATGGAAGCTGACTGATCACTATGGTTTGTCTCAAAGAATTTTTGGGTAATCTGACATACACAGAAAATTTTGGGAGCTTTATCGGTGTTGGCTTCCAATTTGCCTTTGTCTTAGAATATTTTTGGGTATTCTGGAGCTCACAGAAAAATATGAGAGCTTTACGGAAACGCTAGTTCTAGAAATGGTTTGAGTGATCTGACATACGCAGAAAATTATGAGAGCTTTATGCGAGTTGGTTTTCAATTTGCCTTTGTCCTAGAACATTTTTGGATGTTCTGGAGCTCACAGAAGATTATGAGAGCTTTACGGAAAAGCTAGTTCTATAAATGGTTTGAGTGATCTGTCATACACAGAAAATTATGAGAGTTTTACGGGGCTAGATCTTCAACTTGCCTTTGTCCTAGAATATTTTTGGGTGTTTTGGAACGCACAGAAAAATATGAGCGCTTTACGGAAACGCTATTTCTAGAAATGGTTTGAGTGATCTAACATACACAGAAAATTTTGGGCGCTTTATCGGAGTTGGTTTTCAATTTGCCTTTGTCTTAGAATATTTTTGGTTGTTCTGGAGCTCACAGAAAATGGTGGGCCACAGAAAACTCACCTTGCACATCCTTTTTGCTCAGCGTCAACCATCGATAGAGATCTCTGGGTATATCGAGAATGATCAATTGCAGAAAAACCCCGAAAGTGCTCAGCAGTTTGAAAGACCATTTTGTGTACTCGGCGCGCATCGCATTTGAAGAGGGAATGAGCTGAAAATGGAGAGCTCGATGAAAGTTCGACAAGGAAATGAGCTTATGTAGCGAATCCAGTCCAGGATTGATAAAAAACGGCAAAGCAGGTCAGAATTTGCAACTTAATAGGGGAATCTCGAAGTGCGAAAGGGGAAAAAAGAGTTGAAGTACAAGGAGAAGTGAAGGTACGAACTGGATCGGTTGAATAAAGGGGAAAAGGAGGGAAAGAGATTGAGGGATGGGGTTTGGAGTCAATGGATTGGGTGAGTGAGTGAAGAGGATTGGGGCTAACAATGAGGTTAACACTTTGAAGGATTGGAAAGTTCGAGAGATTGACTGAAATTGAAATGGGAATCGGTTTGGTTGATCGGTAAGGGGATTAGTTTTGGATTTGGTAAACCTTGTTGGTGTTCTGTAGGCTTTGTTTGTGTTCCAAACTTTGTTTACAATAGAAATAATGGCCGATAATGAGATTTAGAGATCCCAAAAGAAGAAAGGTTAAAATTTTATCGCATTGAGCTTTCTGATTTTGCAATTTTCAATAGAGTACTCCAGAGGCTCCAGAGGCTCAATATGCTCGAAGAGGATTGAAAATGATCAAACAAAATGATCCTTCACCAGAAGAACCACTTGGAAAAGTTGTAGTGGAAGAGTCAAACAAAAACAGTGACTAAAGAACCCACTTCAGACGGTTTCAGAGCTTTTAGGGCTTCAGAGTTCCATTTCTCGACTGAATTCTCGAGTTATGGTATGCACTCGATCCTTTTGAACTGTTGATAAGCTCTAAGTTTAAATTTTGAGAACAACCGAGAAATCGTGCCACGATTTTGACGGTGTCACTCAATCCCGGTTTACAATAGAACACAATTTTGACTGGATTCTCGAGTTATGGGATGCACGCTTTTTTTTGAATTGATGATCAGCGCTAGGCTACATTTTTAAGAACAAGTGCTAAATCGTGCCACAATTTTGACGGTGTCACTCGACTCTGGTATATAATAGAATGAAATTTTAAATAAATTCTCGAGTTATGGGATGCATTCGGTTTTTTTGAACTGATGATAAGATAAGCGCGAAGTTTAATTTTCGAGATCAACTGATGCTCGTGCAACAATTTTGAAGGTTTTACTCGACTCTGGTTTACTATAGAACAAAATTTTGACTGGATTCTCGAGTTATGGGATGCACCCTATCTTTTCGAATTGATGATAAGCTCTATGTTTAATTGTTAAGAAAATTGTTGAGAAGTTTGCCAATGAGACAAATCTAATTGCTATTGTTGAACCATTCATTTATAGCTGTGACTCATAGTGAAACGGACAATGACAAAGACAATGAATGAGTAATCTGTGAAAATGAGAGAAATGAGGAAAGCTCTTTCAACAATGGAATGCAAAAGTGGATATGGACAAAATCCAAAGCCAATCAAAGTCCTGGGAACAATGGTGAGCAGTGAGTTTTGAACTCTTGAAACAAGTGTTCAAATCGGAGCTGTGAACTCCAATGAGCTATAGCAAATTGCGAAACAGTTTCTAATTATGGCACATGCAGCAAAACGACCTCTGAGATAAAACCGGGGTGGTGGCATCGATCAGTTGGAGGGGAGGGGGGAGGTCGAGAATCTCCGCTGTACCCCTCTCTCGCCCCTCAGACAGCACCCATATGACAAGATATTCAATCATTTATCTTTTCTATCTCAGAGATGAGCTTCTCCTTCATTTTCTCATGAGAAGCTCACCTTTCCCCCTTTTCTTTTTTGTTTCTGAGGTCGGAGGGTGAGAAGGAGGTCATTTCAAATAACATGCCCTAAGAAAAAAACTGAAGCTAGTTTTGAAAAGCTGAAGCTAAAAGCTAAGAATATTAGGCAGGGAAAATATGGGAAAATTTTGGGAGCTTTATCGGAGTTGTTTTTCAATTTGCCTTTGTCCTAGAATATTTTTGGTTGTTCTGGAGCTCACAGAAAATGAGGGGCCAGAGAAAACTCACCTTGCATATATGGAAAAATATGGATTTTTGAAGCAAAAAAAGGGGCAGAGTTGGGAAGTTTGAGAGTCGATAAAATGTAGATTTTTGCAAAGTTGAACTGGATGATGAAATGCGTTCCAGAAGGGATTTTGGGACAGAATTAGATACGGTACAATGGTAAAATTTAGAAGTGCACTCGAAATTGAGTCTCTCTAAATTGTCTTTTCTCTACATTGAGGAAAATTTAGGTACAAGAAATTGTTGAGCTCTGCAGTTACGATAGAAATAATAAAGAAAGCTAATAGCGAGTAGGATTACGAGAATTCAGTCAAAATTTTCAACCATTCTAAACCAGATTCGAGTGGCACGGCAAAATTGTGGACCGATTCATCAGTTGACCTCAAAAATAAAATTTAGAGCTTATCAACAGTTCAAGAGGATTGCGTGCATTCCATAACGCGGGATTTCAGTCAAAATTTTGTTTTGTTATAAACCAGAGTCAAGTAAAACTTTCAAAACTGTTGCACGATCTATCAGTTGTTCTCAGAATTAAACTCAGAGCTAATTAACGGTTCAAAAGGATCATGTGCATACCATAATTCGAGAATTCAGTCAAAATTTTGTTTTGTTATAAACCAGAGTCGAGTGACACTGTCAAAATTGTCGCATGATTCATCAGTTGATGGGAAAAATCAAATATAGAGCTTATCAACAGTTCAAAAGGATCATGTGCATGCCATAACTCCAGAATTCAGTCTAGATTTTGTTCTATTATAAACCAGAGTCGAGTGACACCTTCAAAATTGTTGCACGATTGATGAGATGTTTTCAAAAAATTGGAAAATTGTTGAGCTCTGCAGTTACGACAGAAATAATAAAGAAAGCTAATAACTAGTAGGGTTACGGTACGAATCGAAGCTGAGTTCAAAAGTTGGATTAGTTTAAATCTAAATCCAATGGGTTTATTTGAAAAGAGAGTTCAAAAAGGTCTCAAAAGGTAGGGGTACGGTACGACAAACTCTTAACTCTTCTATAAACTGAATCCAACCCTTTGTAGAGTCTCTGTGAGCTCCATAGTAGCTAAATCTCTTTTAAAAGAGCACGTTAGTGACTAATTTCCAACAGAAATCAATAGAAAATCTATCAGAAACAGAAAAACTCAAAAAAGTGAACAAATTTCTGTAAGTGTACAGTGTGCGCTCCAACTTGACACCTCGAGGGGAAAAGGGAAAAAAGTGGAGAAGAAGAAAAAGATGAAACAGAGCTGAACAGTCTTTTCTCTGTTAATCAACAAGCAATCAATCCCCCCTTTTCTCTTTGGTGGATGTACGGAATGAAAACTGGATTGTTTTTGCCTGAGGGGTGAAAAGAGAAAAGAAAGCAGCCAGAAAAATAAGAAAAAGAGAAAAAAGTCGATTTTGAGGCTGGAGCTGGATTAGGAGAGAATCTAAAATATTGGCTAGTTGAAATTATTTAGCGGAAAAAGTACAGTAATCCTTTACTGTATTAAGACAAAAGCTACAGTAATCCTTGAAAAAACAGAATCCGAAGCTATATGCAGAATCCGAATCTACCTGCAGAACAAGAATTTTTTTTCGCGAGCCGATAGAGGAGACAAGCTCGAGACGAGGATCACTAGAATAAGAGATAATTGAGAGAGAAGCAGAGATCTAGGTGTGGTGACATCCAGCACCAGCAATGGAAGACGAAAGACGGCTAAACGAATCACCCCTTGAGTTTTCTCTGCCACTTAATGATACTGGCAGATTTTGGAGACTGGTTGTTGAAAGTTTTACATGCTGTGAGCCAATAAGTATGTAATATTAGACTTTTAGAGGAGCCAGCAAGCCAGCAAACAAGCAAGCAAGCAAGCAAGCAAGGAAGTAAGCAAGCAAGCCAGCAAGCCAGCAAGCAAGCCAGCAAGCAAGCCAGCAAGCCAGCAAGCAAGCAAGCAAGCAAGCCAGCAAGCCAGCAAGCAAGCCAGCAAGCAAGCAAGCCAGCCAGCAAGCCAGCAAGCAAGCAAGCAAGCAAGCCAGCAAGCCAGCAAGCAAGCAAGCAAGCAAGCCAGCAAGCCAGCAAGCAAGCAAGCAAGCCAGCAAGCAAGCCAGCAAGCCAGCAAGCAAGCAAGCAAGCAAGCCAGCCAGCAAGCCAGCAAACAAGCAAGCAAGCAAGCCAGCAAGCAAGCCAGCAAGCCAGCAAGCAAGCAGCAATCAGAGCAGTCAATTTGAACAAAGCCTTGTTTTTCCTTTTTCTAGAACTTGAGCCTTTAGATAAAGCCAGACATCGTAAATCTAGTGTTGATGGAAAAAAGAGAATGGGAAATTGAGAGGAATTGATAAATGATCTAATCAAACGTCATTAAGAACCGGTTTTTGAAAAAATGATTTGAACTTTTAGTTGTTAGTAGATTTTAAAGAAAGATCATGGGAAAATAGCTTTGAAAATTTGAAGTAAGTTTAGCTTTTAAGCTTTTGAGCTTGCTAGCTTTGAAGCTTGCTAGCTTTGCTGCTAGCTTTTAAAGAAAAGTCTATTTGAAACTAGGTCAAAGAGTTGTTGGATTACTTCAAAACGTTCAAAACGGGAACGAAAAGAAAAGTCGGAATGAAGTTTGTGAAGAGGAGAGGAATGGAGAGAGGAGAGCAACTAGTCTACCATTTCAATCCCACTTTCTCTTTTGTCGGAAAGCCGGAAAGTCTGGATGACTGTGAATAAAGAGAAATAAGCATTCACCAATTTTCCCTTGTGCAATTATGCAAACAAAAATTGATACAATATAAATATAAACCTACCAAAACTAAAATAATAATAAACTAAATAATTCAAAAAACTTTAATAATCTTGTCGCTGTTTTGATATTTCGATTTGCGCGTATGATTTCATAGCCTTGTCTTTCCTTTCTTTCGTCTTTCGATTATCAGCCAAACTTGAGACAAAAACGATACAAACGTTGGTCATTAAATGAAAAGAAAATGAAAGAGATTGATGACCTCACTCTTTGGGAAATAGGTTAAAAACTATCCATCGTGAGCAGAGTAAAAATTTCAATAAAAAGAATTAGAGCTCAGAAAAGTACCAGGGAATTGGATGAATGACATAACTTTGGAAATCTGCCAAGATTTTGTGATAATAAAAAGCAGGATCAAGGAATATCTTCAAAATGGTCTCATTGTTAGCGACTCTTGCAAAAATAAGTTTTAGAGTAAATAATGGTTTGAGAGCATTGTATGCATGCCATAACTAGTAAAATCAGTCAATTTTTTGTAGACTTATAAACCAAAGTCGAGCAGGACTTTCAAAATTGTTTCATCAATTCATCCAACGATCCTTGCTAATAGTAAGCCTTTTGTTTAATCACCAGTTAACGAAACAATGCATGCCATAACACAAGAATACAGGGAAAATTCTCTTCAATTGTAAGCCAGGGTCGAGTGACACCGTCAAAATTGTTGCACGATTTATAAGTGTTCTCAAAAATTAAACTTAGAGCTTATCAACTATTCTAATAGATTGAGTGCATACCATAACTTGAGAATTCAGTCAAAATTTTGTTTTATTGTAAACCAGAGTCGAGTAACACTGTCAAAATTGTGGCACGATTCCTGAGTCTTTCTCAAAAATGGAAATTAGAACTTATTAATAGCTCTGAAAAATCGAGTGCATACCATAACACAAGAATTCCGTCAAAATTTTGTTTTCTTGTAAACCAGAGTCGAGTGACACCGTCAAAATTGTGGCACGATTCATCAGTCATATAAGTTTCCATGTGTGTAGCGGTAGGATAAATTTGAGTGTGGCTTTCGAAATGGGTACCTTCCCTATAACGGGGGGGGGGGGATTTTCCCCCCTGCCCATGCTAGCCCGTGATTTGGGTGGCGTCTCTCTCCTTCAACGTCGACGTCGGCATGTGGACATTCAATCCATTGATTCCCGGCAATACGTACACTGATGTGCGTTGGTTGTAGCTCAAGAGACCAGAAAAATTTTTTTAACAAAGGAAGGTCAACTGGCCAAATGTCGATGCCGGCCGACCAAATGTCACGAGCCATAGACGCAGAATTGTACGCTGATTCCGAATCTGCTTTCCGTTTCAGCTAAGGAGTACTCTGTCAAAAGTTATGCGTGAAATTCTGCGTCGAATGGTCTATAGCTCGTGCCATTTTGCCGGCACACCCAATTGACTTTCCCTTGTGAGTCTTTTGTTAGTTACCTTAGAGTCACTAGTTAGAGCTTATCGTTCCCTAGTTAGAGCCTATCGACAGTTCAAGGGGATCGAGTGCATACCATAACTCGCAAATTCAGTCAAAATCTTGTTCTATTGTAAACCAAAGTCGGGTGACACGGTCAAAATTGTGGCACGATTTTTCAGTTGTTCTCAGAATTAAACTTAGAGCTCATCAACAGTTCAAAAGGATCATGTGCATGCCATAACACAAGAATTCAGTCAAAATTTTGTTTTGTTGTAACCCAGAGTCGTGTGATACCATCAAAATTGTGGCACGATTCATCAGTTGTTCTGAAAAATTAAATTTAAGTCTTATCAGCAGTTCAAGAGAATTGCGTGCATACCATAACTCGCAAATTCAGTCCAAATTTTGTTCTATAATAAGCCAGAGTCGAGTGACACCGTCAAAATTGTGGCACGATTCTCAAGTTGTTCTCAAAAATGGAATTGAGAACTTATTAACAGTTCAAAAGGTTTGAGTGCATACCATAACTTGGGAAAACTATATGAAATCTGGAGGCAACTAAAGACAAACTTAAGACTCTAACTCAAGATCAAAAAGCTTGACAAAATAATCAAAAATATCTACACGTAATCGGTTGTTGTTTTCAATTTTTCGACACGAACGTAGCTCTTTCAAACACTGACTTTCCCACCATCATGTTAGATTTTATGCAGAGCAAATGCAGAGCCGATTTACTCGCAAAAAAAAAAATCAATGATGGTCCTTTTTGAAATCACTATTTCCCTTTTACACAAAAAATTTGCTGTTAACTTTTTATTGATTGAAGATAACAAAAATGTAAGTTTTCATATTTAATCATAAATTTTTGGTTTTAAAATGACTGGTTGGCAGATGTTTTAGTTTTATATCGATCTGGAGCGCACAGTACTTGAAACGCTCAAAAAAATCGTCGAAAAGACAACTGAGTTTTAAAATTAAAAACTAGAATTGTGTGTAGGTTTTTAAGGGTTTCAAATGTTAAAAATAACTCGAAATAGAAGGCTGGTTGGTTCTAAAGAGGCTAAAGAAGCTAAAGAAGTTACAGAAGCTAAAGAACCTAAAGAAGCTTTCTAAAGAAAACTTTAGAAAGCTTTGCCACTTTCGCTTAAAATAGGATTGATGACCTTGATCCCAAAAGAGAACTAATGAACTTTCGCTTTTCGATTCAAAAAATTTTCCATTTAATACACGTCATGATTTAAAAATATAGCTAAAAAAGTAAAATAGAAAAATAAAAAAATAAAGAATAAAAAAATAAAGAATTAAAAAATAAAAAATAAAAAAATAAAAAAATGAAAAAATAAAAAATAAAAAAATAAAAAATAAAAAAATAAAAAATAAAAAAATAGAAAATAAAAATTGAAAAATAAAAATTGAAAAATTAAAAAATAAAAAATTTCAGGATGTTTCAAGAGGTTGAATCGGGGAAACCAAAAAGTTGGACTCTGATTACAATCGTGATGCTATTGGTTAGTTGGAGAAGTCGACTGAGTTGGACCCTAAGCCAGAGCCCTCATTTTTAGACAATGTTACTTAATTTGGGCATCATCATCATTTTCCGAGTGTTACTGGATTCAGAAGATGAAATAAACGAGCCACTCGTTCAGGGTTTGTTTCAACATTTCCTTGAATTCTTGAATCCTAGAATTCTTGAATTCTTGAATCCTTGAATCCTTGGGTCCTTGAATTCTTGAATCCTTGAATCCTTGGGTCCTTGGTTCCTTGAATCCTTGAGTTCTTGAATTCTTGAATTCTTGAATCCTTGAATCCTTGAATTCTTGAATCCTAGAATTCTTGAATTCTTGAATCCTTGAATCCTTGGGTCCTTGGTTCCTTGAATCCTTGAGTTCTTGAATTCTTGAATTCTTGAATCCTTGAATCCTTGAATCCTTGAGTTCTTGAATCCTTGAGTTCTTGAATCCTTGAGTTCTTGAATCCTTGAATATTTTGCCAGGCGAGTTACGCGATCGGATGACGGCTTTTCTTGGCATCTTCACGATGACCTTTTTCTTCGGTTGTTGGTGTTGCTTTTGCTGTGGAGGACTTCTATGCCAGTCAGTGCGTCTCAAAAAGCTATGATATCTCTTTAGGGGACTCTGGTATTGTCCTCGATATTGTTATCGAGGGATTACTCGATTGTTATTGAATGGGATAACGATTCCCCGATTTCGCGGTGGAGATCGGAGTCAAACGGAAAACGATAAGGGTCAGTTAGAGCAATTATTTCATTTCATAGAATTTCTCCAGTTCCAGATCAAATCCTAGAAGAAATCGTGATGAATGCACGGGGTTTTACGCAGGTTTTGTTGGCTTTTTCGTTTCGCTAAATTTTAGTTATTAAGCTTTTTTGTTAGTTTTTCGGTGAAAATTCCTCTTAGTTGGATATCACGAAACTTCAAAAACTTTTCAGAATTTCCAAAATTTAGAATCCATCTTCCTCCTCATTTGTACGAGAACCACGGGATGTTCGGGCCTGGGAAAGGTTGGGAAATTTTGGTTTAATTTAAAGCCTGATGCTCGAGGCTGTTAGTTTTCAGGCTGAAATTTGAGGCTGAGGCTTAGGCTGAGGCTGAGGCTCAGGCTGACTCATTTGTGGTGAACAGTGAAAATCCCTTTTCCTTTTCCAGAGCTCCTTCCTTCGATCAAATGGTTCATCTAGAAGCTATTGGTGATAGAAAAAATGGACCACAACGGCCACCACAGCGACAGAGAGCTTACTCGATTGATGTAGGATTTGAGTGAAACGGGAATTGATCAATTTCAATTAAAAACTTATTTATTTGTACAAGCTCTTTAAATTTTATGTACAAAAATAAAAAAAACACATTATGAAACCCGTATCAAATCACAAAATCAAGGTACTGATGGCGGTGGTGGGGGAAATTGATCGATGTAAAGCAATCAGCTACAGGTAGACAAGAGAAAATGACAAAATAGACTAAGAACTGAAAACTCTGAGTGAATTTCTAGCTTATACTCAAATTTCTTGAGCTAAATTCATGTCGAATCTCCAATCTGGAACACAATTTAATAGTTAGAACCAAAAGTACGATAAGACAAGAGAAAATGAAAAAATAGACAAAGAACTGAAAATTCTGAGTGAATTTCTAGCTTATGCTCTATTTTCTTGAGCTAAATTCATGTCGAATCTCCAATCTGGAACACAATTTAATAGTTAGAATCAAAAGCACGATAAGACAAGAGAAAATGAAAAGCTAGACAAAGAACTGAAAACTCTGAGTGAATTTCTAGCTTATACTCAAATTTCTTGAGCTAAATTCATGTCCAATCTTCAATCTGGAACACAATTTAATAGCTAGAATCAAAAGTACGATAATTTATCCAAAAAATTGCGAAAGGATCCCAGCAGGGCTGGGTGCCTCGGGTTCAGCCACTTTCACTCCGCCCCTCATCAAAGCATTCAGAATATTGTCGATATCGCTTGCACCTGAATTTTTAATGACTAGATCTATCATTTCAATCTATTGGTACCTTTTGTGCCCATTCCAAAGCCACTCCTGCTATCGAACAGTCGAGGTCTTTGCGTTGTGGTCGTTGTCTCCATTAGACCAAACATTTCCAGCATATTAACAATAGGCGCCGCTCGTTGTTGGGGTTTTGCTTGCTCAGTTGACCCGCCTAAATGCGAATTCAGTGACAAGGCTGTTTTCAAGACAGTGCAATCAAAGCGTACCAAGAAAAGTGTCAAGAATATAGCGTTGTTGGCGTTTCGAACGTGGATCTTGTAGATAATTGATTGCAGATGATTGAAAATCGTTTAAAGACATTTGTTGATTCGATGGCTGAGTGGGAGCTCTTATTTGAGGGGAAACCAATTGGGGAGCTCTTCCTGGAAACGGTGACAAGTGTTACAAAGCACATGGAACACATAGCTGGGTCAGAAAAAAAAGAACAAAAGCGTACTCTAGCCAAAGCCAATACCGTATTGATCATATCCATAAGCGGGAGATCTCTCGTACTTTTGGACATTTTGCTGATAGCTGGGCTGAACCGATCGAGGAGGTGAGTAGAACTGATTCATTGGTGTTTGCACTTGTTGTGGTTGATAGAGTTGTGGCTGTTGTTGGAAATTTTGCAAAACGTTTGCATAAGCTTCTGGTGAGGCTAAAAGCAGAACACATCGCGGTTCAAAGTGAAATTTGGTGCTAAAATTTGTTACCGAAAAAATCCATGATGCTTGCTGGCCGCTGGGTGGTTGTCGGTGGAGGGCTGGGTCGGACAAAGCCTAGAAATCGATTTTTAGAGAATTTTAAAGCACAATAAGGTCCGCTGGGATCCTTTCGCAATTTTTTGGATAAATTATCGTACTTTTGGTTCTAGCTATTAAATTGTGTTCCAGATTGAAGATTAGTCATGAATTTAGCTCGAGAAAATAGAGTATAAGCTAGAAATTCACTCAGAGTTTTCCCTTCTTTGTCTATTTCGTCATTTTCTCTTGTCTTATCGTACTTTTGATTCTGGATATAAAATTGTGTTCCAGATTGGAGGTTCGACACGGATTTAGCTCAAGAATGTTGAGTATAAGCTAGAAATTCACTCAGAGTTTTCAGTTCTTTGTCTATTTCGTCATTTTCTCTTGTCTTCCCGTACTTTTGATTCTAGCTATTAAATTGTTATCCAGATTAAAGATTTGACATGAATTTAGCTCAAGAATGTTGAGTATAAGCTAGAAATTCACTCAGAGTTTTCCGCTTTCTGTCTATTTCGTCATTTTCTCTTGTCTTATCATACTTTTGATTTTAGCTATTAAATTGTGTTCCAGATTGAAAATTCGACATGAATTTAGCCCAAGAAAATAGAGCATAAGCTAGAAATTCACTCAGAGTTTCCCGTTCTTTGTCTATTTCGTCATTTTCTCTTCTCTTATCGTACTTTTGATTCTAACGATTAAATTGTGTTCCAGATTGGAGATTCGACATGAATTTAGCTCAACACAAGAGAATATAAGCTAGAAATTCACTCAGAGTTTTCCTTTCTTTTCAAGTACATAAACCACCTACCAAACATTTCCATCATATTTCTCATTGGAGAGGCGGGCGGTGGAGCGGCTGTTGTTGTAGTTGGTGGCTCTGTAGGAGCTCCAAGTCCTAGAAAAATAGCAACAATAAAATTTAATGCCAAAACTCACCAAAGAAATCCAAAAACGATCCTCCTCCCGATGCTGTTGCTTGTTGTTTTGGTTTCGGTGGAGGTGGGAGAGGCTCGGAGTACTCATTCATTGAGCTACCTGCAATTCTAAGGTCTAATTAGGTGGCAATTTTCAAATTCAATAAATAATCTTTTCACCAATACAAATCCTGACCGAGAAAAGTATTGAGAATCGATTGGATTCCGCTTTTTGGTCTACCCGATTGGGAAGAGCTGCCCAAACCGCCGTATTCATTGTAGAGGGTCAATTTTTCGTCGGATGGAGCCAATGTTCCTGCAAATGTTCGTTTGCAGTGTTTGTTAGTTCAATCAAATTTTCAAAAACTCACTTCTTGCCGATACGACTTCATTGAGAATGCTGTTCCCTTGTTCTCCATTTTTCGACGATGAATATGTTTGACTACCGTAAGCTCGACCATTTTGCATGAATTCACTCGTCAATGACATCAGTTGTTGCGCAATTCCGTACACTAAAGAGCGAGATTTGAGTTCAGCAACTTTTTGCTAGAAAATTATTCAAATTTTCTTTTCAGTTCTTTGTCTATTTCGTTATTTTCTCTTATTTTATCGTACTTTTGATTCTAGCTATTGAATTGTGTTCCAGATTAGAGATTTGACAGGAAGTTAGCTCAAGCATGTTGAGTATAAGTTAGAAATTCACTCAGAGTTTTCAGTTGAGTTCTTTGTCTATTTCGTCATCTTCTCGTCTTATCGTAATTTTGGTTCTAGCAATTAAATTGTGTTCCAGATTAGAGATTTGACATGAAGTTAGCTCAAGAATGTTGACTATAAGCTAGAAATTCACTCAGAGCTTTCAGGTGAGTTCTTTGTCTATTTCGTCACTTTCTTGTCTTATCGTTCTTTTGGTTCTAGCTATTAAATTGTGTCCCAGATTGGAGATTCGACATGAATTTAGCTCAAGTACGTTGAGTATAAGCTAGAAATTCACTCAGAGTTTTCAGTTGAGTTCTTTGTCTATTTTGTCATTTTCTCGTCTTATCATACTTTTGATTCTAGCTATTAAATTGTTATCCAGATAAGAGATTTGACATGAAGTAAGCTCAAGAAAGTCAAATTTAAGGTAGAAATTCACTCAGAGTTTTCAGTTCTTTATCTATTTCGCCGTTTTCTCTTGTCTTATCGTACTTTTGATTCTAACTATTAAATTGTGTTCCAGATTAGAGATTTGACATGAATTTAGCTCAAGTACGTTGAGTATAAGCTAGAAATTCACTCAGCTTTTTCATTTCTTGCATCAACACTGGGAATTTTGTCAATTCTGCTGGAAAACTTTAAATTTTTCAGCCACGCCGTAAAATAGCCGGTTCTTTTACGAGAGAAGCGGCTAATTTTTGAGATCCACGAATCGTTTCAGTGGATCTTTCAGTGGATTTCGATCGATTTTTTGGATTTATTTGATTTCCAAAATCGAATGATGCCTTTCAAAGCTTAGCCTTTATTTGAAACTCACTTTGTCCGATTTTTTCCACGTTCACTTCCCCAACAGGCATTTGAAATCCTTTAGATGGCTGAGCATTTGAAATTGCGAGTAATAATAGCAAGATTATCAAGGAGCACATTGAAATCTGAAAAGGGTAAAATTCAGAAAGCGAAACGAAATGGAAAACGAAACGAAACGGAAGACGAAATTCAGAAACGATGCTGACATCCAAAATTCCCAAAAATAAGAAAATAAAGTCATTTCTCGATGAATCACCCTAAATATTACCCCACTTAAGGTCATAACGCTCTGATTGAGGTCGATGAAGAAGGGCTAGGGGAAAAAAGTGGGAATCGGTGAAAATCTTGGCGATCCACTCTCATTTGTCGGTTTTGCGATGGCATAGTGAAGAGAAAAGAGAGAGAATAGAAAAGAATTGGAGCGATCGGAAGAGGCGAAAGGGAAATGGCGAGGAAAAACGGGTTCTCCTCAAACCACCACACACATTCACCCAAGGGCAGAGACTTATTGACTCGATGATTTCCTTTCATGGTTTCCTTCTTGGTGGAATCGGTTGTGAAGGGAAAGCTGTGTTGAATGCGCTGAGAAAAATAAGCCATTGACAATCGGTGATTCATTTAGAAAATTTTTTGATTTGCTTTTCTTTCACTCTTGAGAATTCTCGAGTGATCATTTGGATTTAATTATTCCAACTCTGCCTTATAGCAGAATCAAATTTTGACTGAATTCTTGTGCTATGGAATGCACTCGATTCTTTTGAACTGTTAAAAAGCTCCAAATTCTATTTTTGAGAACAGCTCATGAATCGTGCCACAATTTTGAAGGTGTCAATCGACTCTGGTTTACAATAGAACAAAATCTAGACTGAATTATGGAGTTATGGCATGCACTCAATCTATTAGAATACTGATAAGCTCTAAGTTGAATTTTTGAGAACAACTGATAAATCGTGCGACAATTTTGACAGTGTCACTCGATCCTGGTTTACAATAGAACAAAATTTTGGCTGGATTCTCGAGTTATGGGATACACGCGACATTTTCGAATTGATGATCAGCGCTCGGTTACATTTTTGAGAACAAGTGATAAATCGTGCAAAAATTTTGAAGGTGTCACTCGACTCTGGTGTACAATAGAACAAAATCTAGACTGAATTCTGGAGTTATGGCATGCACATGATCCTTTTGAACTGTTAATGAGCTCTAAGTTTAATTCTGAGAACAACAGATAAATCGTGCCACGATTTTGACGGTGCCACTCGACTCTGGTTTAAAATAGAACAAAATTTTGACTGAATTCTCGAGTTATGGCATGCACTCAATCTATTAGAATAGTTGATAAGCTCTAAGTGTAATTTTTGAGAACAACTGATGAATCGTGCAACGATTGAGCGCCTCTTTTTCTACAATTATCACTTTCACCTATCGACTGAGCTCTCAATGATCAGTTAGAGATGTTCACAAGACGATTTGTCTTGCGTTTTCACACGTTTTCACAAGACAACTTGCGATTTCAAGTCGATAAATTGATGAAAAAAAAATTTAGAATGTAGAAGAAGAAGAGAAAGGGTCCAAGAAAATTTCTCAAAACTAACAAAATTTTCAATGACGACAAAAATGAGAGAATCGATGACAATGCGGAGGAGATTGAGAAAGATTTGTCAAAAAGAGGTGTGACGAGGATTTGAAAAGGGAGATTTAGGGATATTCAGATTAGGGCAAAAAAAAGTGACTGACAGTTTGGTTGAAAACTTTAAAAGAAAGCAAGAACGTTGGAAGGGACTAAAACATTTAAAATGTAGACTTTAAAGGCGTTGCTGCTTTTTAATAGGCCAAATAGAGATAGCGAAGAGGAAATCAGTCGTAATGGAACGCGTTTGACTCAAATTGGAGCAAAAAACTGTACGAAGCGAAACTGTTGCTGTTTCAGTGTTTGAGCGGAAGATTTTGAGAGTTTTGCTGGGTTCTAGTTGATCAAATAAAGCTAATATAGATAGATTCTTAAATATTGGAATGCATTTGAGTTGCATCAAAATCAAATGCATCAAAATTTTTGAAAAAATTTGCCTAGCTTTCCAATTCCACCAGAGTGGTCAAAAAATTTTAAAAGACACGAAAAACCGAGAAAATCGGTGTCTAGATGGGTGAGGAAGATGAAGCAATCTAAGTGGAGGAAGAGCAATCTAAGGGAGACCAATTTCGGAGAAAAGGCGTGGCAAAGAAGGATTGAAAGGAGGATTGAAAGGATTGAAAGAATAGAGATTTCTGTGGAGAGGGTTTGCATGAGAATGAGAATGAGATCCAACTAGGAAGAATTGTTGAATGGGGCGAAATGGTCGAGAATGGAAGAAATTTCAGAGAAGGATTAACCCTGGTAAAAGATTCTGATGGTGCAAAAAGTTTTAACTTGGTAGAAAATTTTTTTGTAGCATTATAGAAGCCATAAATGCAGACATTTTGTCTGACTTATTAAAAGCATTGCTTTAAATCTTCAACCTGAAAATCGATCCCGTTCCATCGATTCGTTTATTCGGAACCAGGACAATAGTAAGTGATCGACGACTTTCAAATTAGCAAACAATGCTGACGTGCTGACGATCTCCTTTGTTCTTTCATAAAAAGAGATTTCACGAAACTAGTCTCATTTTTGGAATAACTGGGAAGCAGTAGAGCTTTTCTGGATATCGAAAAATCGAATTAGCAAAAAGAATTTCACATCGAATTTTCAATGGGAAGATTTTGAGTGAAAAAAACGCACAAATTGGTCTCATTTCTGAAAGTTAGCCTACAAACAGTCCTTTCTGGAGCTCACTACAGCTTCTGCAATAGGCAAAAGCTACTGTAAGCAGGGGTTTTTCTCTGGGAACTTTGCATTGTATTTTCAATGGGAAGATTTTAAGTGAATGAAGCATAAAAATTTATCTCAATTTTGAAAGTTAACCTATAAACAGTACTTTCTGGAGCTCACTACAGCTTTTGCAATAGGCAATAGCTACCGTAAGCTACTGTCTGAAATTACAGGATAGGTAATGATAGGTATGACCCTTTGTGAATCGAAATGAAAAAAGATTTCTCGAAACTAATCTCATTTTTGGAATATCTGGAAAGCAGTAGAGCTTTTCTGAATAGCGAAAAATCGAATTAGTAAAAAGAATTTTGCATCGAATTTTTAATGGGAAGATTTTGAGTGAATAAAACGCACAAATTGACCTCCATTCTGAAAGTTAGCCTAGACAAAGTCCCTTCTGGAGCTCACAGTAGCTTTTTCAGTAGGCAAAAGCTAGTGTAAGCAGGAGTTTTTTAGAAATTTTCCATCGAATTTTCTATGGGAAGATTTTGAGTGAATAAAATGCACAAATTGATCTCATTTCTAAAAGTTAGCCTACATACAGTATTTTCTGGAGCTCACTATAGCTTTTCCAATAGGCAAAGCTATTGTAAACTATTGTCTGAAATTACGATAATTGCTCCGCCTCGGGAAGCGCCAATTTTCGAAGCATTCCTGTCAGTTTCAGACATTTAATTGATTTCTCGAGTTCCGATTTCTCCAATCTTTGCTCGGCTAGCAAGCAGAGGAATGAGAAAATCAGGAACATTTAAATGTAATACATAAAAGAACAGAATCAGAAAATGAATCAGTTTGAGTGAAGGAAATTTGGCGACTTTCAGCGACGGCGGCGAAATACCGGCGGCGGTTATTTGGCGCTCCTCATTCGAAATTCGAAATTTACGTTGATGAGACTGTATTTTTTGAGATTTCGGTAATGTTTTCATTTTTATGCGTTTCTTTTTTTTTTTATAAACTAAAATTCTTCATTCTCTCCAATAAACCAAAAATGATTAACAAACGAAAAAAAAACGAAAATATTGCAAGAAACGTTTAGAGCTATGTGCATAAATTGAGAAAAATAATTATTACAAAAAAAATAACGCCTAAAATTCTCTTAATCCAAAAATGAGCATTTTTATTAAAACTTTGACACTTATTTTTCTTTTGATTGAGCCGGGGAATTTTCGGCAATGGCTACCGGTAGGATTATTTAAAATAAAAGGTTTAAAAGGTTTAAAAGTCGATAGAAATTTCATAAAATCTATGCGAACAAGACGAAAAATCGAAAAGAAATCCAAAGAAATGAAAAGAAATGAAAAGAAATGCAAATTTTAGGGAATGACAGATTTTTTGGAGTGACAAAGCTTTTTTTTTGATTTGGAGAAGCTCTGATTCGTGGGAAAGTTGACATTTAGAATTGATGAAATTCAGAAAAAAAAGAAACAAAGGCACGCTTAATCCTTTGTGGAAGATGAAAAGGTGAAATTGAAATTGAAATTTTAAATTGAAAATTGAAACACAATTTGTACAATGACTAGAGGCTGAGAAATGATTTAGCTAATTGTCGGAGAGAGCCGAGTCCTCGGAAAACAGCGAACCATCACGGGGAGACAGAAAATCGACACGCGGGATGAGTTCGTGCTGAAATTTTGGATTTGATTACTGGTCCTGGTACTCCTATCAGTTTTCTAAAGAACCTAGGATGTTTTGTCTATTAGTAATTGTCTATTAGTACAATTGTACACCAACTAAGCCGGATTGAAGTGACTTGACCGAACCGGACGAAAATTTCAACCCAGACTGGACTGGTGGATCGAAAAGTTTGGACACTCCTGCTATGTATTGGACGCTCCTGCTTACAGTAGCTTTTGCCTACTGAAAAAGCTGCTGTGAACTCCAGAAAGCACTGTTTCTAGGCTAAATTTCAGAATCAGGATCAATTTGTGCGTTTTATTCACTCAAAATCTTCCCATTGAAAATACAATGCAAAGTTCTTTTTACTAATTCGCTTTTTCGATATTTAGAAAAGCTCTACTGCTTTCCAGATATTTCAGAAATGAGATTAGTTTCGAGAAATCTTTTTTTCATTCCGACCCACAAGTGGTCATAACTATCATTACCTGTAATTTCAGACAGTAGTTTACAGTAGCTTTTGCCTATTGGAAAAGCTGTAGTGAGCTCCAGAAAGTACTGTATGTAGGCTAAATTTCAGAATTGAGATCCATTTGCGTGTTTTATTCACTCAAAATCTTCCCATTGAAAATACAATGCAAAATTGCCAGAGAAAAACCCCTGCTTACAGTAGCTTTTGCCTATTGCAGAAGCTGTAGTGAGCTCCAGAAAGGACTGTTTGTAGGCTAACTTTCAGAAATGAGACCAATTTGTGCGTTTTTTTCACTCAAAATCTTCCCATTGAAAATTCGATGTAAAATTCTTCTCACTAATTTGATTTTTCGATATTCAGAAAAACTCGACTGCTTTCCAGATATTCCAAAAATGAGATTAGTTTCGAGAAATCATTTTCATTCCGATTCACAAATGGTCAGACTCTTACCATCAGTCTACAGTAACCCATTCCCCTTACCTGTTCACTTTCGCTCGACGATCTCATTTTTGTGCTTGCATTTCCGTTTCGTTTCAAGCGAGCAATTGGATCCAACTGAAATTTGAATTCTTAGAAAAGTTCTCAATTTTCGATTCTAAGGAAAGCTCACTAATCTCTGTTTTTACGAAGAACTTTGAAAAATGATTATTTGAAGAAAGCCACTCGGAAATCTTTTGGGTACACGCACAACAATGATCACTCCGATGAAAATACATCAAAGACTAGGGGTTTTCATTTTTGGTGGAAATGGGTGTCTTTCGAAAGCGCTAAGCTGGTGTGAGTGTTCAGTGAAAAGCGGAGCGATTACTGTAATTTCAGACAGTAGCTTGCGGTAGCTTTTGCCTATTGAAAAAGCTGCTGTGAGCTCCAGAAAGTATTGCATGTAGGCTAACTTTTCGAAGTGAGATCAATTTGTGTGTTTTATTCACTCAAAATCTTCCCATAGAAAATTCTTTCTAGAAACTCTTGCTTACAGTAGCTTTTGCCTATTGAAAAAGCTGCTGTGAGCTCCAAAAAGCACTGTTTCTAGTCTAACTTTCAGAATTGAGATCAATTTGTATGCTTTATTCACTCAAAATCTTCTCATAGAAAATTCAATGCAAACTTTCTAAAAACCCCTGCTTACAGTAGCTTTTGCCCTTTTGGAAACGCTGCTGTGAGCTCCAGAAAGCACTGTTTCTAGTCTAACTTTCAGAATTGAGATCAATTTGTATGCTTTATTCACTCAAAATCTTCCCATAGAAAATTCAATGCAGAATTCTTTTTACTAATTCGCTTTTTCGCTATTCAGAAAAGCTCTACTGCTTTCCAGACATTCCAGAAATGGGATTAGTTTCGAGAGATCTCTTTTTCATTCCGACTCACAAAGGGTCATACCTATCATTACCTATACAAACGTTCCTCTTCGGTACTTGAGTCGCTGGATCAACTTGAAATATTTTTAAAGATCGATGAAAGAGTACATTTAAGTACGGATTTACAAAAAGCCCGAAAAAAGGAAAAAAAATGCAAAAAGCTAAGCACTTGGTTTACTTCGAATTTTTGTGCCCTCTCGGCATCGGTTTCGGCGGTGAAGAGCGCGGTAAGGAAATTCTTGAAAAGAGTTCTTGAAACAAATTCTTGAAACTTGAAACATTTTCGTCAAGTTTTAAACTTTTTCGGGATTATGATAGTATTTAAAAATCTCTGGGCTGCTTTAGAATAGCCCTGACAAGTCCATTTCTTTCGGGCAGCCTTTAAAACTCACATCTCTGGGTCCCTTGGGCGTGACGAGGTCAACAGAGGTCTGTGACCCAGTCCGTGGATATGGAAGAAGCGGGCTGTGCATCGACGGGGTGGCTCCCTCGCCAACTGACGGTCTAAAGAATAAACTTGTACTGAAAATCGTGATTCTGGATGTCATGTTATCCAAATCAAAAGCCGTTCTCGTGAATCGATTTATTTTCAAAAATTTGGAAAAATCGAATGATCAAAATGGCAAAACTGGTATTTGTAGAGTTTTTGGACCCGAAAAAAGCGGTTATTGAAAGGAATTGGGTGGCAGAAAAGTAGAATAAGTGGTTGATTGATGGGGATTGATTGAAAATTTGAAAATTGAAATCTTTCCAGTACCACAGAAATCCCAGAGCTACAGTAATTCTAAAAAAATCACCAGAAAACAAACACCAGCACAATTTCCGTAAAAAACGCAATTCAACTAACAAAAAGCGAACCTCGTTTGCTAAAAGGTGGATAAGGGAAAGGCCAAAAAGGATTACGGTAGCTTTTCCCAAAAAATCCAACTTCTAGCTATTGGGTTGTCCAGTTATGAATGCGCGTTTTTTACTATTTTTTAAATTTCTCAAGATCTTAAGATATTATTCGAAAGCTGAAGATCTCTTCTACATTTTAATATAAAAAGTTTTTGAATTTGGGCAAATTTGGGCAAATTGACCGCACTGAAGAAGAGGTGGCCAAAAAATGGCCAAAAAATGGAAGGGTGCCTTTGGATGAAGTTTTGGCTTCGCTCAAATTGAGTTAATCGTTTGATATTTAGCCAATAGATATATCAATACAACTTTTTTTTGAAAATATAACAATTTCAGAGCAACTTTACTTTTCTTTTCTGGGCGGTTATTTTGAGGACTTGAGGAATGGCTAAGCTGGAATGGGGTTTTTTTTTTTTCGAAAAACCACCTCTCCCTTTTTGCGCGCAGTCAATTTCCTCAAAAAAGTTGAATTTGAATTCAAAAACTTTTTGATTCCAAAATGTAGAGGAGATCTTCAGCTTTCGAATGATATATAACACTCAAATCCATCTGTTCGATATCTTGAGAAATTTAAAAAATAGTAAAAACGCGCATTCATAACTCGACAACCCAATATTTCAACTACAGCAAACAAAAAAAAGGCACTAGCAAGGGGAATACGGTAAAGCACAGACACAAAGCTTAGCTAGATACAAAAATGCCACACAATTCTACGATAGACATGGGAAATTCCGCCTTTTCCAGGTTTTTTGCTAGATCTTTTAAATGAAAATTTTCAGCTTATAGACAAAATTTAGAACTTAGCCAAGAAAGAGGTAAGAAAACGGGTTGAAAATTATCGTACTTTTACTTCTAGCTATTAAATTGTGTTCCAGATTAGAGATTTGACATGAAGTTAGCTCAAGAAAATAGAGTATAAGCTAGAAATTCACTCAGAGTTTTCCGTTCTTTGTCTATTTTGTCATTTTCTCTTGTTTTATCATACTTTTGCTTCTAGCTATTAAATTGTTATCCAGATTAGAGATTTGACATGAATTTAGCTCAAGTACGTTGAGCATAAGCTAGAAATTCACTCAGAGTTTTCAGTTGAGTTCTTTGTCTATTTTGTCATTTTCTCGTCTTATCATACTTTTGATTCTAGCTATTAAATTGTTATCCAGATTAGAGATTTGACCTGAATTTAGCTCAAGAAAGTCAAATTTAAGGTAGAAATTCCCTTAGAGTTTTCAGTTCTTTATCTATTTCGCCGTTTTCTCTTGTCTTATCGTACTTTTGATTCTAGCTATTAAATTGTGTTCCAGATTGAAGATTAGACATGAAATTAGCTCAAGAAAATAGAGTATAAGCTAGAAATTCATTCAGAGTTTTCCGTTTTTTGTCTATTTTGTCATTTTCTCTTGTCTTATCGTACTTTAGACAAAATTTAGAATTTAACCAAGAAAGAGAACGAGTTGGAATTCGAATTTCCGCTTGGAATTTTCCTAGTCTATAGTGCAAACGAAAAGCAGTTAGTTAACTGAAAGTTTTGAAAATGGGCAGGGAATTTTTTGAAACATGTTAACAGAGGAAAAGTGATTTTTTTTTAGTTTCATTTTGAGCTTTAGCATTTTGTTAACATGTTCACGCTAAATGAAATGCAAAACAGTCTGATCTTTTTCTCGGCAAAAGTGGGGAAGTGGATGGAGAGGGGCAAGGGGATGAGGAGATTGATGGAGATTCGGATGGAGTTGGAGAGGGCGATTGGAATCGGCCATTCAGTGGTTCCATCTTCGTTGGACAGGTCGACGTTCTTCTCAAGCCTTTTCTTTGACTTTCATTTGATCCCTGATAATGGTGGTGGCCTTGGGTTGATGGTTTGTGCAGGGGATACCTGATGAAAGCCGGATTAGAGAGAAATTCTTTCAGAAAAGTGCAGGTTTAGAAAGAAATTTAACACTTTTTGAGGTTTGAGGTGTTTTTCTGTGGTTTTGATCGACATACAACACATATTATCAAAAATGAACTGTACTCTAAGACATAGGAAATGTTACAGTTTACAATAGCTTTTGCCTATTGAAAAAGCTGTAGTGAGCTCCAGAAGGGACTTTGTGTAGGCTAAATTTCAGAATTGAGATCAATTTGGGTGTTTTATTCAATCAAAATCTTCCTGTAGAAAATTCAATGTAAAATTTTTTTTACTAATTTGATTTTTCGATATTCAGAAAAACTCTAGTGCTTTCCAGATATTCCAGAAATGGGATTAGTTTTAGGAAATCTCTTTTTCATTCCGATTCACAAGGGGGTCATACCTAGCATTACCTATACTGTAATTTCAGACAGTAGTTTACAGTAGCTTTTGCCTATTGCAGAAGCTGTAGTGAACTCCAGAAAGCACTGTTTGTAGGCTAACTTTCAGAAGCAAGAACGATTTGTGCGTTTTATTCACTCAAAATCTTCCCATTGAAAATACAATGCAAAATTCCCAGAGAAAAACCCCTGCTTACAGTAGCTTTTGCCTATTGCAGAAGCTGTAGTGAGCTCCAGAAAGTACTTTGTGCAGGCTAACTTTCAGAACTGAGATCAATTTGTGTGTTTTATTCACTCAAAATCTTCCCATAGAAAATTCGATGTAAAATTCTTTTTACTAATTTGATTTTTCGATATTCAGAAAAGCTCTACTGCTTTCCAGATATGCCAGAAACGGGATTAGTTTTAAGAAATCGCTTTTTCATTCCGCTCAGGGCCATACCTATCATTTGCCTTTAGCTAGAAGTACAGTACTCTTGTCAGCTGTCAAGAAAGTGCACATTAGTGACTACAGTATCCTTTGTTAACTCAGATATTGTTTGTCGATCAAAGTCATTATCAAAATTTCTAGAAAATTTCTAGAAAAACAGTTTTCTAAGTGTTCTGGCATTCACAAAAGTCTACCATTCAGAAGAAAAAACTTCTGTGGGCTTTTTTTAAGGGCCAAAAAGCCCGAAGCACGTCTAGAGTCCGTTTAAGCCCAAAAAAACAGCAGTGCCATTTAAAAAACAAGAAAAACAAGGGCACACAAAGGGGAGAAAACTGCACAAGACATTCATCTAAGGAATTTTCGGGAATTTGTAAAAGTTGGTTTAGTTGGGTTCTTTGAATGGAGAAGGCTTTGGTGCATGCCATTGTAGCGAAATTTGTGGAAAATTAACCTTGGACCCCTCGAAATGAGCGTCGTTTTGTAGGCGAGTTGATACGAAGTGGCTGAGATTTCCAAAAAAGTGCAATCGTCGCGAACGATCACCTGGAGAATTGAAATTACGGGATTACGGTAGGCGATCCAATTTACCGAATAATCCGGCGTGAAGCCGATTTTCTTTTCCTTGTTCCCGTCGGCGCGATCGGTGAGCGAGCAGCGACTGCTACTGGAAAAAGAAAAGAAGATTTTTGGAAGTTTTTGAAATTTTCAGCTTTTAGGATCCTAGTGTGCGTTCCAGAATGCATATTCCAGAAATCATAAAACCCTCATCTCTTGATGTGTGCCCCAAAATGGCTACTCCAGAAGTTTGAAAACTTGATTCTTCTAGAGTGCTTTCCAGAATTCCAGAATTTTTCAAATATGAGTGTGCATTCCAGAATGCAAATCCCACAAATCAAAAACCCTGATTTCCTTTCACTTTTGCTTACTTTAGTGGCCGATCTGTCTTCATGTGCTCGCAGATTCTCTCCAAGAGTTCCGTCCCAAAAGCGTGCCATGGGCCAGCTTCAAAAGTCATCTCATCCTAAAGAAAAACTCATTTTTTTTGCTTCTCTTTGATATACTTTGCGTTTTTGGTAGTTTTACAAAGAAAAAAAGCGATTTCCGATCCATTTCCTTTTTCCCGTTTTTTTTACGTTTTTGAGATAAATGAGTAATAAAAGGTGAAGAAAATATTAACGGGAAGCCATAAAAAAAAAAGAAAAAAAGAAAAGAAATGAGATAAATGGATGGAGAAAGAAAATAGATTAAAAAAGTGTTTTATTTTAGCTTTTGGCAAAACTTTGACGATAAAAACTACCGTAATCTTTCTATAGTTTTATCTATTAGCTTACAGTAGCTTTTGCCTATTGCAGAAGCTGCAGTGAGCTCCAGAAAGTACTGTATGTAGGCTAAATTTCAGGAATGAGACCAATTTTTGCGTTTTATTCACTCAAAATCTTCCCTTTGAAAATAGAATGCAAAATTGCCAGAGAAAAACCCCTGCTTACAGTAGCTTTTGGCTATTGCAGAAGTTGTAGTGAGCTCCAGAAAGCACTGTTTCTAGGCTAACTTTCAGAATTGAGATCAATTCGTGCGTTTTATTCACTCAAAATCTTCCCATAGAAAATTCGATGTAAAATTCTTTTTAACTAATTCGATTTTTGCTATTCAGGAAAGCTCTACTGCTTTTCAGATATTCCAGAAATGGGATTAGTTTTAGGACATATCTTTTTCATACCGATTCACAAGGGGTCATACCTAGCATTACCTATACTGTAATTTCAGACAGTAGCTTACAGTAGCTTTTACCTATTGGAAAAGCTGCTGTGAGCTCCAGAAAGCACTGTTTCTAGGCTAACTTTCAGAATTGAGATCAATTCGTGCGTTTTATTCACTCAAAATCTTCCCATAGAAAATTCGATGTAAAATTCTTTTTACGAATTTGATTTTTCGATATTCAGAAAAGCTCTAGTGCTTTCCAGATATTCCAGAAATGGGATTAGTTTTAGGAAATCGCTTTTTCATACCGATTCACAAGGGGTCATACCTATCATTTGCCTTTGTCTAGAAGAAAAGAAATGAGGTAAATGGATGGAGAAAGAAAATATATTAGAAAAGTGTTATATTTTAGCTTTTGGCAATTTTGGCAAACTTTTGACGATAAAAACTACCGTAATCTTTCTAGAGTTTTATCTATTACATAGTTTTATCTATCTATTCTGCCAACTTTTTCATTAAGCTTCTCATTGAGCAAAATTTTGAGGTTTACCGGTCGACTGAACATTGTGGATTAAACGTCATTCAGAAAAAATGAGAAAATGAATCAGGAAAGGATTTTGTAAGGATTTAAAGAAAAAGAAAATTGACTGAGTTTTGAAAATTAAATTTTTGTGAATCATGGACTTCACAGCAGCTTTAGGAGTAGACAATTTTGCAAAAAAAAAGTTTTTTTTGATTTTTGAAAATTTTTCTGGAAATTCCATGGTGAGGTCCAGAATGGGTCAAAATTTAAAGAAATTCAATATTTATTTATTTACCTGTCCAATCGTGACCAGCGCTCGTCCCTCGAGGATCAACACAAATTTCTCGGTGTTCTCGCCTTTCGTGTAGATCTTTGCCGTTCTAGGGATCACCGTTTTTGGATCGTACATATCGGGTAGATGGGTCAATTCCACCTGAAAAAACGAAAATGACTTAAAAATTGGCGAGATTCGGGCAATCTGGAACTCACCCTCTTCACATTTTGTCGTATCAACTTCTCCAGAACTGTTTGTGAGATCATCACTTGAGTGAAAGCTTGGTGATTTGTTGTGAGCCACTGGAAATAGAGAATTAAGAATGGTTTTAGGAAGCAAAGTTGCCAGTTGGAAAACGCCAAATTGCTCGAAATTTTTCAAACCAACAAAAGGCTTTCTTTTCGAGAAATAGCAAAAGAGTTATCGGTTACAATAATAAAAAAAAATCCTCGAACATTGCATAGACTTCGGCTTAAACCGTATTAGAAACTTGGATTCTACATAATTCCACATGATTTAACAAACAGCCAGAACTGGCAATGTCTCAGAAATCAGTGTCGCTTTCTCGATATAATTCTAATGGAGATAATCCCCACAATGCAAAGACCTCGACTCTTCGATAGCAGGAGTGGCTTTGGAATGGGCACAAAAGGTTCCAAAAGATTTGAAATTATAGATCTAATCATTAAAAACTCAGGTGCTAGCGATCTCGTCAGTATTCTCAATGCTTTGATGAGGGGCGGTGTGAAAGTGGCTGAACCCGAGGCACCCAGCCCTGCTGGGATCCTTTCGCAATTTTTTGAATAAATTTTCGTACTTTTGATTCTAACGATTAAATTGTGTTCCAGATTGGAGATTTGACATGAATTTAGCTCAAGAAAGTTGAGTATAAGCTAGAAATCCACTCAGAGTTTTCAGTTGAGTTCTTTGTTGATTTCGTCATTTTCTCGTCTTATCGTACTTTTGATTCTAGCTATTGAATTGTGTTCCAGATTGAAGATTCGACATGAATTTAGCTCGAGAAAATAGAGTATAAGCTAGAAATTCACTCAGAGTCTTCCGTACTTTGTCTATTTCACCATTTTCTCTTGTTGTATCATATTTTTGATTCTAGCTATTAAATTGTGTTCCAGATTAAAGATTTGACATGAATTTAGCTCAAGAAAAGAGAAAAGAAGCTAGAAATTCACTCAGAATTTTCCGTTCTTTGTCTATTTCGTCATTTTCTCTTGTTTTATCGTACTTTTGATCCTAACTATTAAAATGTGTTCCAGATTAAAGGTTTGACATCTAATGGGAACTTTTGGATAGCAAGACAACACTCAACTTAAACAAATACTTGAAGCAATTCGACAAGTCAGCTAAATCTTTGTTAGAAAGAAACCTCAAAGAGAAAAATCATTCTTCAACATGATAGACCGCATGTTTCGATGACTCTTTCTGAACTAAACTCACTTGGATGGGTGGTGATGGCCCCGGCATAAATCCCTGATCTTCATCTCATCTATATTAGAAAATCTTCGATTTTCTAATAGAGAAGCATTCAAATTTTACTAGTAAAATGGGCAAAAATCATACAAAATAATGGCAAATATCTCGCATGATTTGAAATTTTTCATTAAAGAATTTTCATTTCAAGAAAACGTGCCAAGTCATACCCATCAACCCCAATATTTTGCTCCAAATTTTTCAAATTTCTATACCTGCATTGTGACGAGCAACATTTGCACAGAAATGACTCTCGACGGCTCCTCGCTGGCCACCAAATAGCTTAAGTCGGTGGCCTGAAAATTGGGATTTCGGAAATTTACTGAAAATCCTTTTTTTTTTTTTTTTTGAATATCCATCACATCAGTACTCTCCGTTTTCCGTTTTCTCAAATTTACAAAAACTTTCAGAATTCTTAACAAGAATTGGCTGAATAAAGCTAAAAAGTAAAAAGAAATTGGCTGGAAATAATTGAAATAATGAAAATCGGGTCGTAAATATTTTTTGCGGAAAAAAAATTGGAGAAATAATTGGAGAACGGGGAAAAATCGGATTCGATTTGAAAGCGGAAATTTTAACTTGAGAAAATTGATTCAATTTATAGACTCGTGGCACTGAATTAAGGTTTTAACGGTTGTAGCTATGCTTTTTAGACTTTTACAAAGCTATAAGCTACAAAGCTAATATTTTAATGACAGTTTCAAGACTTGGATCATGGAGGTAATTTTTAGAAATCAAATGGGAACAAAATGGGAAACGAATGGGAAACAAATGGGAAACGAATGGTAACCAAATCGTAATCGAATCAGAACCAAATGGGGATCAAATGGGAACCGAATCTGAGCTGAATCGGAGCTGAATCGGAGCTGAATCGGAACCAATTCAGAACCAAATGGGGATCAAATGGGAACCGAATCGGTGCTGAATCGGAGCCGAATCGAAGCTGAATCGGAGCCGAATCGGAGCTGAATCGAAGCCGAATCGGAACCAATTCAGAACCAAATGGGGATCAAATGGAAACCGAATCGGAGCTGAATCGGAAACGAATGGTAACCAAATCGTAATCGAATCAGAACCCATGGGGATCAAATGGGAATCGAATCGGAGCTGAAGCGAAACCAAATCAAAGCCAAATCAAAGCTAAATCAAAGCTAAACCAAATCAGAACCAAATCGGATCCAACTCAGAACCAAATCAGACCCGAATCGAAACCGAATCAGAACCAAATCTGGCCTCTAAAGACTACTGTAATCGGGCTTTTAGACACTCTGGTGTCCAATATCTTACGGTATCGGGTTTAAATATTGTCCTGAAAACTGGAGTTGCCTTCAATAACCTGGAAAAGTTACTGTAATCCCTAGATAAACTACCATTGTCACAAAAAGCCGATCATCGAGCTGCGATTCGTTTTCCAGACGATCAACACGGCCACGAAAGTCGAGGTGATAATTATGAGAAGAAAAAGCGAGCAAAAATATCGAAAATACGAGGATTCGATCGTCGATCCTTGATATCCATTCAGAATCGAGGTTGTCGCTTGAGAATAAGCCGATCCACCAGATTGTTGATAGGATAATCTATGAGAAATCGGGATTCTGGATGTCACTCTGGGGAATGAGAGGGCTGGAGGGCATTTTGCTTGTTGGTTTTTGAGTGCTTTTTGAAGCAAAGAAGACAAAGGCGTTTTCTAGACTTTAGCAAGGGCAAGTACCCAACTTTTCAAGCAAAATGCCCTTTCTGGACCTCACAATCGCTGTAGACCTACCTGGAAAATCTTGAAACGGACATTTTGGGAGTGGACCTTGGAGAAGCGGGTACATCCAAAGTGCTCAGAGAAGAAGAGGGCCTCGCGGAGACCGGCATTAAAAGGGAGCATCGAGAAGAGGCTGGTTTCGAGCCACTGTACGAGATTTGGCTATTGTAACCGGTTTTTCGTTGATAGCGTCGATCCGATAGAGGAATCGGTGACCAGCGACGATAGAGTTTTTGACGAACAACGCTGAATTGGATGGGTTTGGAGAGGATTGGAATTGTGGAAAGATCTTGGGAAGATCTTGGAAAGATCCAGCCTAGACACGCTAGAATCCAGCGCCAAAAATCAGTTTTAAACCTGCGCCAACCTGTTCGAATTCTCCGGTAAACTACTCGTCGACAATCGCGGTCCAACAGCTTCTGCTTCATTTGATCGAGTTGGCGATGATGGATGAAGTAATACAATAGCTGACATTGTGGTTTGGATTCTTTGTTCATCCAAATTTTTTGGATCTGTGAGATTCCGCATTTCAGTTGTCAAGAATATCAAAAAAAGAGTCGCTTCTTCAAATTCGATTTTCCCCCATCACTTTGGCATAGAAACAATCGCCAATTTGCGCCAATTTGCGGAAGAAAAGTGAGAATGAGACGCGGGTAATGCAATCAGATGAGTGGATTTGAGTTTCTCGCTTCCCGAAAAGGGGCGGGGCTTAGCCGAGTGAGTGAGCCGAGTGAGCATTCCTTTTCGGAGCCCTTTTTCCGGATTTAGTAAATGAGAAAATGAAAAAAACAACGAAAACAGCAATTCTGGGTGTCATGTTCGAATGACACATAAAAAGAAAAAGCGAGAGAGCAAAAATCGAAAATCGCAATACAACGATAGCGCTACCTCGACTTTTTTGAGTTTTATGTGATGGATATCCAAAATTTTCATTGAAATTCTTTCAAGCTGGAACTCATGATACAAAATTGTCGCCGAATTTTTGAATTCTAATTGCTCTAGAAGAAAATTGACCTGTGCTCCACGTCTCCGAATTCTGTGAACATTGTCGGTGACAGCGTCCGTCTCGTCAACGATTTCGGCCTGAAAATCACTGGATTAGAGATCAGAATCGAGATTTTTGTTAGCTTTTGCCTTGTAGACAGTAGAAATTTGGTTAAAAAAGAGATTGCAAAGGGTTGAAAAGTGAGAAAAAATGATAAAAATGATAAAAACTGTTTTTTGGTTGAAAATTTCATTGAAAGTCAACTTTTGACCGATTCACTACTCAGCTAGAGCTCCTTTCTTAGCTTTTCCCATTCACCTGAAGAATCTCTTCAACAATATCTTCCAGTGTGACCACTCCAACCAGCTCATACGTTGGATCAGTGTCCTCAGCGCAAACGATTCGTTGAACCATCGCCAAATGGTAGTCACCCTAGAAATGAATGATTGGATGAGGCTTTTGAATTGAAAACTTCATTTTGTCGATCTAATTCTTGTCACTGACCTTTTTAAACTCTTCCAACATCATTCTCAACGGCGTATCTTGCATAACGAATCGCAATGGATGTTGATGATATCCGCAAACGGTTTGAATCGTGAAATTGTCGTCCGGATCGAGTAGAGCCAAGTCTTTAACGAAAAGAAGCGATACCTGAAATTTTTGGCTCAATGAAAGCTGTAAACTGAAAGCTGAAAGATCTAAAGCCTTCACGGGTTCAGTATCGAACTTGAAAAGTCCAATAGCAACGACTCTATGGCTTTCCCTAGATACTGTAGTTACGGTTTAATACGTAATTGCATAATAGACGTCATACGCAATATGGTATAATAGATGTAAATCTGGAAGAAAAAGCCTGGAAAGGGTTCACCCTATTAACTTTTTCTTGAGTAGACAGATTTTAATGAAACTTTGGATTCTTCTTAGTTGGATAGCATGCAAAAATTTGCATTTATCAGATCAGACGTAATTACGCAATAGATACCTGGATACCTGTTCACCCTATTATCTCTTTTCTAAGTAGACAGATTTTAATGAAACTTTGGATTCTTCTTAGTTGGATAGCACACAAAAATTTGCATTGATCAGATTTTTATTGTTTTTGGTTTTTGAAACAAATAGTCTGGAAACCAGTTTACCGTATTATCTTTTTTTGAAGTAGACAGATTTTAGTCAAACTTTGGATTCTTCTTAGTTGGATAGCACACAAAAATTTGCATTGATCATATCAAACTTAATGACGATGTAAACCTGGATACCTGTTCACCCTATTATCTTTTTTTTGAGTAGACAGATTTTAATAAAACTTTGGATTTTTCTTAGTTGGATAGCACACAAAAATCGGTATTGCTCAGATCAGATCAATTTTTAATTTTTAGAAAATCGATTTTAGACGCGTTGTGCTAATGTGGATTACTGTAGAATCGGCTATTTGGGGTTTGGTTACGATGGCCTACCGTAACCCCAGCTGAACTAACTTGACCACAGCAAACCCAGCTCAAATGAACTGGAGTTACGGTAGCGAATGAGTGGCGCAAGATTTCCCCCGCTCACCACGTGATTCCTATCTCCCGAATAAACGGGTATCCTCGTGTATCCCATTCGCAGAATCTCGGCCACCGTTTTCGTGTTGAGCACAGTTGTATCGGGCAACATAAACACATCCTGAACTTCGAAAAATTCAATCTCAAAGCTCAAAAATTCAATCTCAAAGCTCACATCACTTTTCGTCATCACATCGGAAACGGTTTTGTCGGAGATCTCCATCGCACCAACAGCAATTTTCAGCTCTTCAGCCAATCCGTTCTCATCTTTCGCGTTCATCTGAACAAATTCATCAATAAAATAGGATTATTGAACACTTGATCCGCTCCGCCCTTTTGCCATTGGCAATCCAACTTTGAACTCAAATATCTCGGTGTTGGGCTGTCCAATTTCAATATTCTTGATATCATTAGATGCGTCAAGTCTTTCTCTTTCGATTGGTACAAAAACTATTTCAATTGGACAACCCAACACGAAGATATTTGAGTTTAAAGTTAGATTGACAATGCCAAAGGTCTCCACAATCTCCAAAGGTCTGCCAAAAGGTCTCCACAATCGCTTGAAGCACAGCTTTTCAATATGCTTCCAGCTAGACTTTAGTGTTTATTGGATTCCTCGGAAAAACGCGTATAAAAGGTCCTACAATCGCCCCGCCCCTTTGTCATTGGCAATCTAACTTTAAACTCAAATATCTTCGTGTTGGGTTGTCCAATCGAAATAGTTTTTGTACCAATCGACAGAGAAAGACTTGGCGCATCTAATGATATCAAGGATATTGAAATTGGACAGCCCAACACCGAGATATTTGAGCTCAAAGTTGGATTGCCAATGGCAAAAGGGGGCGGGGCCTAAAATGTGATTCAAAAAGGGTATCTTTTTACTAATCTCAGAGAATCACCGTCCCTTTTGTGCTTCACAAAAAAAGCGCGCTCAATTCCATTGTTGACTTGCTATGATCTGTTTTTTTTTGTTTTTTCAAAGCATTTCATGGTTTTTTGTGTAATAAAATTATTCATATTTCTCCCAAAATCCAGTTTTTCGTTCATTTTCGATTTCCTCGCTCACCTTGATCAATTCCATGAGTCGTTTCCGGTCATACGCGACCACCTCATCACCCAAAATCCAATCCAAAATCTGTAAATTCGTAAATAAAGAGATAAAGATTAAAAGGAAATATCTAAGATTAGATTTGACGATTAGATTTGCCGATCAAAGATCTTTGACTCACTTTTGAGATCGGGAAAGCGACGGGAAAAGTGAGAACCATGAAGAAACGAGTGATGAAAATCGTGTGCGCACCCACAGCCAAACCTTTTCTGTAAAGGGAATTGATCTTTTGAAGATGTCTTCTATGTTAAAGCTACAGTGATTCACAGAAAGCTTAGTTAGCTTCCCAGTTAACTTTCTAACTGGACTGAATACTCTGATCTAGACTGAATACCCTAATCTAGACCAAATACCGTCATCTAGAGATTCTATATTGAATATCCTATTCTAGATTGAATACCGTAATCCAAATAGTCTAGACTGACAACTCTATCTAGACTGAATACCCTAATCTAAACTAAATACCGTAATCTAGCTATTCTAGACTGAATATCCTATTCTAGATTGAATAAAGAAAAGAAAAAGCTTTCTAAATCTTTCTAAATCTTTCTAAAGCTTCCTAAAGGTTTCTAAAGCTTTCTAAAGGTTTCTAAAGCTTTCTAAAGGTTTCTAAAGCTTTTTCAACCTTTCTAAAGCTTTCTAAACCTTTCTAAACATTTCTAAAGCTTTCTCAGCTTTCTAAACCTTTCTAAAGCTTTCTAAAGCTTTCTAAAGCTTCCTAAAGGTTTCTAAAGGTTTCTAAAGCTTCCTAAAGCTCTTTAAAGCTTTTTAAACCTTTCTAAAGCTTTCTAAAGCTTTCTAAATCTTTCTAAAGCCTTCTAAAGCTTTTTAAACCTTTCTAAATCTTTCTAAAGCTTCCTAAAGGTTTCTAAAGCTTCCTAAAGCTTCCTAAAGCTTCCTAGAGCTTTCTAAAGGTTTCTAAAGCTTCCTAAAGCTTTCTAAAGGCTTCTAAAGCTTTCTAAAGGCTTCTAAAGCCTTCTAAAGCTTTTTAAACCTTTCTAAAGCTTTCTAAACCTTTCTAAACCTTTCTAAGGCTAACTGGAAGTCAGCTTAAAGCTTGCTTAAAAGATCGAGAAAGTGTTTTGAGTTGTTTTGAGCTGTTTTGAGCTGTTTTGAGACAAAATTGTTTCAAATTTGTTTCTTTTGAGATTTCCCGTCTGTTGTGCCTCCCAAAACACTCACTTAACACAAAGACTTTGCGGGAAAATCTCTCCAAAGATGACGATAGCCGCCGAAGAGACAACGAGAGCGACAAGACCGGATGAGAGATCATCGAGAAGGATTGAGATACCCGAATTCACACAAACGTTTCCTAAAAAGGGTATTTTGAAGATTTTGAAGATTTTGAAGATTTTGAAGATTTAGAAGATTTAGAAGATTTAGAAGACTTTGAAGACTTTGAAGATTTCCTAGCTAACTCACCAAGTAGCAATGTACAAAGCAGTAAATTTCCGCGCTCGCGAATCGGCAAAATTGTCTCGGCGTAGCGGCGCTCGGTTTTTGAGCCTGAAATTTCGGCGTTTAATTTTTTTTTAACTATTTAACTAACCAGATTTCATAATCAGTAACAATTCCTGAGTGGACAGAGCCATTAGGCCAAGATTTAACCCCGAAAAGAGACCGGATAAGACGAGAAGACACGCGAGAATTGTCACCTAAAGTCGATGTTGCATTTCTTCGAATCCCTTCATCACCTGAACAGCAAACGGAAAATAGTATTTCCTTGGCGGGACTTTGGTTGAAAGCCAAGTTCGATGCTCGACAACTTCTTCGAATTGATTCGCAATTGTTTTGTCTTTTGAGCGATTTTTGATACAAAGACGAATCTCGGTCTCATGACTGAAAAATTAAAATGGTTTCTGATGTTTAAAAACGTTTAGACAAGTTCTGTGCGTTCCAGATCAAAGATTTAAACCTTTAAATCACAGGGTTACCTCTGGAATTGTCCATATAATGTGATCCGAAATTTGAAATGATTTCTGATGTTTAAAAAAGTTCAAAAAACGTTTAGACAAGTTTTGTGCGTTCCAGATTAGAGATTTAAACCTTTAAATCAAGCGGTTACCTCTGGAATTGTCCATATAACGTAATCCGTTTATCAGTTTGAAGAGAGAAATCCTTTTGCTCGAAGAGGTAACCGGGTTCCAGGCAAGTTGTGACAGTGAAAGCGATCTGGAATTGCATTTGGATGAAAATAGACGCAATTTTGTGCTTAGAATTCCAATTCACCTACCGCCACCACTTCATCCAACCAAAAACCGTAAAGAGTGTATTGAACAATTCGATTCGGGACCACGATTGATTCGCCCTTTTCCCTGTAAACAATTATTTTCATTTCTCTACATCAAAAGCAAGTTCATCGTTGAGTCAAAACACTCACGTGTGTCCTAAAAAGATTGCCTCGGAAGTCGAGTCGGATGGAGATTCGACTCGTGCTCCGGAAACTTGCGGCTCTTTTTCAATCGTGATTACATTGATCGATCGGGCACTTGCTTTACGAACGAAGACGGGAAGGACTTCAAGCGAGTCTCCCGCCGAATCTTTTGTCACCGGGGAAAGTGGTGGAGTCTGGAAAATGGGATAAAGTAAAGGTTGGCAGATTGGCAGAGTGGATTTGATATGGCAGAGTTTTCAGAATAAGCCTAGAGATTTAAAGAAACATTAGAGTAAAGGGTTTTAGGAAAATCGGTAAATGAACTCTTAGAAAAGCAATGGACTTTCACTTTTGACATATTTGGATTTTGGAATTTTACTTTACTCTAGTCTAACTATTGAAAATCGACTTGGAAATCTGCGAGAATTGATTGGATTGGGATGAGATTGGATTGGAGATTGGAAATCTCATTAGATGGCATTAGATGGCATTAGATGGCATTAGATGGCATTAGATTGTACATTAGATTGTACATGAGATTGTACATTAGATTGTACATGAGATTGTACATTAGATTATACACTAGATTATACACTAGATTGTACATTAGATTGTACGAATTTCTAAAAGAACATTAGATTGTACGTATTTCTACAAGAACACAAGAATGTTCAGCTAATATTGAGAATTGTGATGTGGAAGGATCAGCTCAGACATGTGCAAACTGGTTTGTTAATGTTCTGGGGATGAATCTAGCAGTCTAGCTAGATCTAGCAGTCTAGCCGTCTAGCTAGATCTAGCAATCTAGCTAGAACTAGCAATCTAGCTAGATCTACAAGTCTAGCTGGATCTAGCAATCTAGCTGTCTAGCAGTCTAGCTAGATCTAGCAGTCTAGCTAATCCACAAAGACAAAGGATGGGGCCATCCAGCAGTCCAGCTGGATGTCTTTTCGCGAAATAGCAGAAGAGTTATCGGTTAATCATCCAATACTTGAACATTGCATAGACTTGGATTTAAACCCTATTAGGAACTTGGATTCCACATGATTCCACATGATTTAACAACCAGCCAGAAATGGCAACGTGCCAGAAATCAGGATGAAAAGATTCTAGCTGTGTTTGGAGAACACGCCAATTGATTGCTGAAGGGGAAAAGCTCGAGCCCGACGTCAAGCCGTGTATGAGAAGAAGTTTATGCTCTCGATGCCCTGAGATTTGGAAGAGTCTATCTACTGGGAACTTTCGAATAGCAAGAACATTAAGCTTCAGATCCGTACCCAGAGGAGGGGCATTTCCGGGCAGTTTTTTTCTGGATACGGACCTGCTTAACTGAATTAAATGCTCAAAGCAAATTGAAAAGTCAGCTAAATTTTTGCCAGAGAAAGACCTCAAAGAGAAAAAACATTCTTCAACATGATAGACCGTATGTTTCGATGACTCGTTCTACCCGAAACTCACTTGGACGGAGGTGCTGCTAATCCGGTATACAGCCCTGATCTTGCGCCTTTTGATTACTACTTATTCCGGTCGATGGATGACTTGGCGAACAAACACTTTGACTCCGAAAAAGATGGCGGACAGATTGGGAGATTTAAAAAATGGGTGACAGATTGGTTTGGGTGACAGATAACTGTAAAACTAGAGCCCAATGTTGCCTAGCTTCCCCTTCGCAGATGGTCGAGTGGTTAGAGCGCGCGTCTCTCAAACGAGAGTGGGAAAGAGGGGTTGTGGGTTCGGTCCCCCACCGAGAAAATTAGTTTTGCTTTTCTTTTCAAAATCGATTTGAAGTTGTTGGAAAGTCAATTTCTATAGTTTTCTATATATAAAAGAGAAGAAACGTCCGTTTGTCGAAATAAAATAATGCACAGCCTTGTCTACAATGAAATCAATAATCAATAGGCCTTTTTAGAGCTGCATGCTCCCAGATCTGGAGCTGCGTTAATCTGGAGCTGCGTTAATCTGGAGCTGCGTTAGCAGCTGAAAACTCCTGCTATTCTTATAGTTGTTAATTTTTCAACTTTTCCACAAAGCTTTTCGTCATTCAAAGAATGATCTGACAAAAAAGGACTCTTTCTTATCGCTTATTTCGATCTTTTCTTAAAGAAAACAAATAAAAAATGATGAAAAGAAAAACAAATGGCAATAGAATTTATATTTAGCTTTCTTTTGATATTTTTGATTATGAAAAAAGAAAGAATTTTTGAGAAAATGAGTCACGAAAAGGAAAAAAAATCGAAATCATCTTTTTTTAAGCATCTTTAAACAAAACTTTTACCAGTTTAGATTGAATTTTAACTTTAAAATTGACCTGCTCATCTTTCCGGACGACTTTTGCATCGATTTCGTTCACCAGAAGCGCGGCGATGAGTAGGAATGAGAGGGGAAAAGTGAGCGAAGTGAAGCTAATTCGAAGACAAGGAAATGTCTGGAAATCGATTTTCTTTTTTTCGATTATCTAGCATGAGATCCAGGATTGAAGGAAAATCAAGCCGATTTTCGTTTCGCTTACCGCTTTCTTTGATATAGGCCCGATATTGGAGTGATTGCGGAGGGTTCCTTTTACCATTCCAATTCCACCGCCAACACCCACTCAAGCGTTTGTTTTTTGTAAGGAGAAAACTGAATTCTCAAAGATAAGAATGAAAATAGCGAAACAAAATGAAATAATTTAAGAAAACAAGGCTGAAAAGCTGAGTTGAATGGTTTAAAAATGAAAAAAAAAAAAGAAAAAAAATTAAAAATGAGAATGAGACTTTAAAAATTGCTCATTTTCACCAATTCCGTGATTCAATTTGATTAAAAAAGCTCAAATTCTACTCGATTTTCAAAAAATAGACGAATATTTCGAATTTCATCAAGTCTAAAGGGTTGAAACGGTTAAAACTTGAAGAAAAGAATGCTCTAATCATTCAACAATCAGCACATTGATAGATCAAAAAGGAAAAGAAGAGGAAGAAGAGGAAGAAGAGGAAGAAGGGGAAGAAGAGGAAGAAGGGGAAGGAAGACGGAAGAGCACAATAGGAAGGCGCAGCTCGGCCAAGACCTCATCAGAGGCCAATCATCAGAGAACTTGGGCACACCTCTTCGACAGCACTGTCCTCCCGGCACTCTGCTACGGGCAGAGACCTGGGCCACGACACAGACCACTGAACGAGCCCTGAGAACGACGCATCGAGCCCTTGAAAGGAACTTCCTCGGGTGCAATAGGAAGACGCAGCTCGACCAAGACCTAAGAAGTACAAATATGCGCCAGCTCTCGGGACTCAGAGATCCAGTGGAAGTGATTGAGAGAAGGCTGAGATGAGCCGACCACGTGACCAGAAGAACAGACGACAGATGGACGAGACGGATCACAGAGTGGCTACCACGAGACCAGAAGAGGCCCATCGGAAGACCAGCAACGAGGTGGAGCACAAGAGTGGCAGAGACGGTCAGAGAAAGGATGGCTAGAATGCAACCACCACCAGCACAAGCAAGTCGAAGACTTCGAACCAGGAACAATCAAGCTAGGAAACACTGGATGACAATAGCAAGGGATCGAGAAATCTGGAAGCAGATTGTGATCTGCGCAAATAGGAACACCTAAGTCTGAAGACAGATAAAAAAATGGGAAATGAATAGAGAACTTTGAGAAAAAGAATCTCCCTAACAATGCACATTTCTTAAAGATACAAAAATGAACTTAAAAGAAGAAGAAAGAAGAGAAAGATGAAAAGAAAGCTAGATAAAAATTCGGAAAATGATTCTAAATTTTCGTCAAAGCCAGCAATTATTCCTCCCGAAATTAGGACAATTCCAAATCTCGAATTCTCCAATTATCAACCATTTAATTGTATTCCAGATTTGAAATTTCCCGAAAAATCTTGCCCTTGTGACATCCATAGTTTACTTAAAAAGCTTTAAAATTGTCAAAAAGTTGAGAAATTTTCATATTATTGCTTTGAAAAGCTTTGAAAAGCTTCAGAAAGCTTCAGAAAGCTTCAGAAAGCTTCAGAAAGCCTCAGAAAGCTTCAGAAAGCCTCAGAAAGCTTCAGAAAGCCTCAGAAAGCCTCAGAAAGCTTCAGAAAGCTTCAGAACGCTTCAGAAAGCCTCAGAAAGCTTCAGAAAGCCTCAGAAAGCCTCAGAAAGCTTCAGAAAGCTTCAGAACGCTTCAGAAAGCCTCAGAAAGCTTCAGAAACCTTCAGAAAGCCTCAGAAAGCTTCAGAAAACATTTTTCTTCAAAATATTTCTTTAAAATCTTTCTCCAGCTGTAAAAAGTGCAATTTTTTCTTATTTTTTCTTGTTTTTTCTTATTTTTAAAGAAATTTATATAAAAAGAAGCCGATTTTTCAGAAAAATGATGGTTTTTTTGGAAAATTCTTTCAAAAAGAGAACATTTAAAAAAAAAAAAGCTCTAAAATTCCCAAGAGAAATCGAAAAGAACGAGAAATGATTGAATTTAAGAGAAAAATATGGGAAATTGGTCAAAAGAAATGTCAATTTTGTCAATTTTTTTGAAGCTCTCACCCAGCTCGACAATTTTAACGACAATTTGGAAATTTGAACGCGTTGCTTTCCAGATTTCCTATATAACTTTCTAGAATAACATTTAAATGAAAATTTTTCAAGAAGTTTCTTTACAATACGTCGCTGTGCGTTCCAGATTGCCTAATGGACAAGTGCAAGGGGCATTTATTGGATTGGTGAATTGAAAACTGCCGGCTATTGTCATATGTGACAGTTTGAGCGCTTTCTTCAAAAGAAACCCATTTTGGTGTCAATGGAAAAGTTGTAGAGAATCAAAAATCAAGCTTATATCCAAATTTTCAGAACAATTCAAAAACTGGTTTTCAAGGAAATGCGAAATTTGAATTGGTTGAATTTTCACAAATTTGAATTTTCACAAAACTTGCATTTTAAGCGAAACTATTAAGTGTATCTTTTTTGGAAATTTGGCTATAAGCCTAATTTTTGATTCTCTACAACTTTTCCATTGACATCAAAATGGGTTTCTTTTGAAGAAAGTGCTCAAACTGGGACAACAAGACATCTTCAGTCCTTCATTTTTGAGTCTCACAAACCAAAATCCTACTACGAAAGAGGAATCCAAAAATTGCCTGTAAAATAAGCAGAGGTCGTCAATAATAATAAAAATTATTTGGAATGAATTGATGGTTTTATGTTGAATAAATTTTAGTTCAAAATCCGGCATTTTTCAATTCACCAACCCAATAACTTTCTAGAATCATAATTAAATGAAAATTTTTCACGAATTTTTGTTTACAAGTGTCGTTGTGCGTTCCAGATTGCCTAATGGACAAGTGCAAGGGGCTAAAATAAGCATTTAGATCAACCCTGACCAGCCGATCTCTACAAACCCATTTTTATCACGTTTTACCATGATTCAGAAAATTTCCAAAACACCAGAAATCAAGCTGGAATCCACTAAACAAGTCTATGATTTAAAAATTCGAAAAATGAGATCATAACTTTTTTCAAAGTTACGATCAAAAGTATGCTCTAGAATATGGGAAAATGAAAACTTTTGAACTAACTAATTAACTGATTAACTTCTGGAAAGTCTGCAAATTGTGCTAATTGCGAGGGAAATATTGTACCTTTTTAGCTTGTAGAGAAAAGTTGAGAATTCAGCTGGAAAGAAAACATGAGTTTTTGGCGGATTTCAATAACAAATCTTTCTTTTCACAAATCGTAAAGTATTAGAAAATTGAGAATTTTGAGAAAACAACAGGTGTAAGATTGTAGTTTGGAGTGAATTGTAGCCGTAATTCTAATAGGTCGATCAATTTTTTAAAATGGGAAAATCGTGAATTGCTTTTTGAGATGGCAAGAGGGGGAAAATTGGAAAATTGGAAAATTTTGTTTGAAAACGGTTGAACTTAAAGCATAAAAGGAGAACGATTTTTGACTTGGAGGGCCTATTCCTCTTTCGTGGTAGGATTTTGGTTTGTGTGTGAGACAAGTGTGAGACTCAAAAATGAAGGACTGGAGATCTGGAGATGTCCCAGTGTGAGCACTTTCTTCAAAAGAAACCTATTTTGATGTCAATAGAAAAGTTGTAGAGAATCAAAAATTAGGCTTATAGCCAAATTTCCAAAAAGATACACTTGATAGTTTCGCTTAAAATGCAAGTTTTGTGAAAATTCGTAAATTTAGCATTTCCTTGAAAACCAGTTTTTGAATTGTTCTGAAAATTTGGATATAAGCTTGATTTTTGATTCTCTACAACTTTTCCATTGACATCAAAATGGGTTTCTTTTGAAGAAAGTGCTCAAACTGTGACATATGACAATAGCCGGCAGTTTTCAATTCACCAAACAATTGAGATTAGTCTTGATTTGAGGAGAAGTCAATGTCAAATTCGAGGATTCAGAGCCGGGCAGGTTAGTTTGGCAAAGGGAGAGGGAAGGGGGTTATGTAAAAGCCCTGCGCCAGACGACGAGCAATTACGCGGCCGCACAAAGAGCGCACAGAACACACAAATTAAGCGAAACTACTAAGCTTATCTTTTTGGAAATTTGGCTATAATCCTAATTTTTGATTCTCTACAACTTTTCCATTGACACCAAAATGGGTTTCTTTCGAAGAAAGTGCTCAAACTGTCACATATGACAATAGCCGGCAGTTTTCAATTCATCAACCCAATAGAAACCTAAAAATCATCAATAAAATGTAAAAAATGTAAAAAAATGTAAAAATAAAGTTTAATTTTAAATTTATAACTAGAAAAAGTCAAACTGAGACTGTAAAACCGTAAAACTAAGCGCAACGAAAGTTCTAATTGTTAGAAATTTGTTGGAAAAGGATCAAATAAAAGAAATAAAACATTTCTAAACTTTTACAAATCAAAAACCGAATAGTCTACGATTAGAAAAATGAGGTAAAAGAAAAAAAGGAGAAACGATTTTTTGTTGTTTATTTAGAAGATGAACGAAGTTGGGGAGAAGAAAGATGACAAAATTGTAAAATCGACAAAAAATTGAGGGAAATGGGGGAGATTGATGTGCAATAATGGGTCAAAAGTTTAAAAACGAATAACTTTATCGAATGAAAAATGGAAAAATGGAAAAATAGGGGAAAATGGTGAATTTGTTTGTGGATGGGCTCAAATTTCAGCTCACCTCGTTCGGGGGAAGCTGAGAATTTCGAAAAAGAATTGAAATCGAATTGAAATTTGTGTAAATTTGCCTCAAGTGACCTCCAGAATGAAAGAATTTCAGGGAAATTTTGAGAAAACTCAAAGCTGGTCAATGAAAAAGTGCTCAATGACACTTCAAGCATTTCAAGCACTTATTCTAAAGCTATCATGTTCAGCAAGTCGAAAAAAACGGAGTTCTGGAATGCAGTGAACTGTTTATTGGAAAGAATTTCGCAATTGGTCTCGAAAGAAAAAAAAAAGTGATTTCTTAGTGCACGCGAATTCGAAATTTAGTCGGAATGAAAGCAATGATGACGCATTTTAAAGAAAAATTGTTTAAAAAAGAGGAAAAGCAATGGAAAAAGAGGTCTAGACTTCGTAAAAGAAAGAAAGAAAGAAAAAAAGAAAAAAAAGGAAATTTAGGGAAA